CCATATTTATTTATTTATTTAAAATCATAATGTATGTTCAATCTATTTTAATATTGTTGAATTTAATAAATAGATAAACCTAAATAACTAAATAACTTTATTGACCAAAGAAAATATGGTAAAAAAAGGCGGACTTAATACTAGTAACATTCTCTACCAGTCACCCAATGCTGAGGACTGATGTATCCTTTCCCTGTATCCTATAACTTCATTACTACCATTTAATACATACCACACACTACCATGCAAACATAGCTGCTTCACGACAGAAATACGAGTGGAACAGAAGTACCCATGCAGACGAATTTTGTACAAAATCTCCTTCTAGTAAATAAACATATATAAATATATATTAAATATTAAGGAATACAAGTATATTTATTCTCTCATCATAAAAACTATAAAAATAATTATATATATATTAATAAATAAAACATAATAATTCAATGTCAATGAAACAGGTTTAAGCTCAACACACCATAAAAACAAGGCCATAGATAATGATCTTCCGCTTGGATTAGGAATATTAATATATCTTTTATCAATTATATAATATTTGTTTCCATACAAATAGAAACATATACTTAACTATACAAGGCAACGAACAATGTTGGTAATAATTTACCAGAGGGAGACTTTATACAAATGTCATTTGCTTGGGTACCTCTATTCCATTCGTGTTTCTACCATGAAGCAGTTGTATTTGCATGGTTGTGTTTCGTTCTGGAGAGTGAAATATGGCAATTAATATACAGGATACACAGGAATAACATATTAGTGCTCAGAAATGGTAAATGGGGTATCATTGGCGAAACAGTATATTCTGTTATGTCTATGGTACTGCTTATGTCTATAGGCGACAGTTACCACTTTCCATCAGATGGGCCGTCAGCTTGTTTGCCATTCTAAGTTGTATAAAAAAATTATGGTAAGAGTAGCAAAAGAAAAAACGACTCTTATAAATGACTAGTCCTCTACCCATTAATTCGTACTTGTAAATTTCAGAAATAGGAAAATAAATGAAATAAATCATTTCTAAATAGCGTTCTAAATAGCATAGCGTACAATAAAACATATACCTGATTTTAACTTCAGCAATACAACTGTAAAAACCGCATCCAATTTGGTCCGGTAGTTTTTGTAAAAGTATAAACAGACCGTCAAAATGTCTAAAAAATATTGTTTTAACTTCTATTGCCTTATATTATGCTAAACTTCTTATATTTTCCTTATCTTATATTATTTTCGCATATGGGGTCAGCTAAGTCGTTGCACGTCGACCCATACGGATCTTTTGTGCTTCCCCCTGCCTTATACCATCATTTCATAGATCCTATGTGTTACCTTAACGATATCCCGCGGTTTAAGATATCTGTAGTCCCCTGGCTCTGGATAAGCCATTCCCAGTAGATTCATACGCATGCTTGTCAACAAATCGCAGTTACACATGAAGTGTTCCATGGATTCCGATTTCTCCCCGCACAGTCTGCACAGTGTGTCCGAAGATAGACCCATCTTGTATAGTATATGCCTTATTGGCATATGTCCAGTTAGGTCTTGCCTGTTGTCCGCCACCGCTGTAGATGAGTTTATCCCATCCCTCAACATTGTCATTTAAGAACTTTTTACTTATATTTTCCTTAAATATCTTCCATGTTATACAGAGTGTTACTTGATACAAAAGATAGAATACAATAAAAGATACAAAAGTCGTTTGCTTGGGTACCTATGTTCCATGTTTCTGTCGTGAAGCAGTTGTTTGCATGGCTATGTTTCGATTTGAAGGGTGCAGTATAGCAGTGAAATTACAGAGTACACAGGCATAAAACCTTAATCCTTAGCAAAGATAACAAATGAGAGGTATCATCGGCGACACAGTGTACTCCATTATGTCCATGGTACTGCTTATGTCTATAGACGTCGGCTACCACTTTCCGTCAGCCGTCAGCTTCTTTGCCATTAAAAGTTGCATAAAAAAATGTATAATCTTTAAGCTTGCATAAGTACTAATACTTATTTATGCTCATACACATATCAGGTCAGTGCACTAAATGTGATCGTATTATGAAAGTGGATGTAATAACATAGATTTAATTAAATCACCATAAATTATGTCAGATCTATTATTTAAATGTAATTAAAAATGCTCTTAAACGTAATCTCAGTATCCATAAATATAACATAAACCGTTTAATGTTGTAAACGTATTATTATTGTACACGACTAACCCACATTCCGCGTTCATTTTACATTACGCATAATACAATGGCCAGACGTCATCTTCCAATGTTATATAATAACAAATTATAATGTTGGCCAACAGAATTGCCCAAGATCTACGCAAAGGTCGGCTCTCTGATCGGTTGTCTGTCGTATCTTATTGCTTCACGAGTCAAACTTAAATATTTTGCAAGATTTGCAAGTCTATTGTGAAACGCTGAAGCGCAGTGCATTGCAGATGGATGTATCTACGTACAAGGCACTTATTTCCTGCGATGACTGTTGCTTGACAGTTCTTAGAACCTTGGTAGTTGACCTTGGATCTTTTTGGTGTACATATATTGATGTTACATAAAAAATGACGTACCTGGAGAGTGAAAAACCTGCTTTGATCATTCGTATTACGATTCATTTTGTAAAATAAAACCAACTATAAACCATTATGAACTATTGCCTAATTTGCCACTCCTGGCGAAAATATTTGCCGCTCCTTTTAATGGTCAGCCGCCCTCGATATTGCCGCCCATCATTTTTGCCGTTTGGGCATTCATTCAATTTGAACCCTTTGGATCAGACCCAGTATTTAGGATTAGAAGTATCAGGTATACTAACTCTAGATGATATATCAAAGTTTCCCCTAGGAACATTCAACTTGACCAATGTCACACAATTATTGATTAATGATTACAAGATTTTATTTTAAACTATCTGCCCGCCCCGCTTCATACAGGGATATTTTTGAAGATCCCCTAACCGCTTTTAGTCTCACTCATTCACTTTTCTACATGAAGATTTTATAATCTATTTTTTTTTCCTTTTCCTTACGATTTTTCAAACGTTTTCTTGCATATAAAATTTACCCAGACCTTTATAAATACAACAAAAAAAAAAAATAGCAAAATAGTAACTGTTCTGAAGTAATGCACTTTAAATATTATGTATATTTCGAACCCAACGGTCGTGTTATATAACGGTAGCAATTTAAAAAGAAAAACTTGTAAACGAGTCTATTTAAATTAGAACAAACGTGCAATAAAATAGAAAACGAATAATTACATTTTAGTAGAGGAATTACATCGAATACATAAGTACATAATTCTATACAGAACTTGATTTTTTATTTCGATAAAATACTAGCTGTTACCCGCGGTTTTGTCCATATTAATCAGTATTTAAAGTATCCTATATATTTGTGCTCTTAGATACTGGGGCCCTGTACCCCGGCCGATTGTGCTTCTGCCAGGGGTTAGTTTGCTGTCTATTCTCCTTAAGAGAGGAGATGTTAATTTTATAATAATAATAATTTTTATTTCGGACTTTACTGAAGGCGTGATTTACTGGGTACAGAGGAACAACACCTGAGTCATCAGGAATGGCAACGCATGGGGGGTATCATGGGCGAAACAATATACTCTGTTATGTCTATAGTACTGGTCATGTCTATAGTACTGGTCATGTCTATAGGCGACGGTTACCACTTTCCATCAGGTGGGCCGTCAGCTTGTTTGCCATTCTAAGTTGTATATAAAAAAAAAAACTTTTTGGCCCATTAATATTTATTAGTAAGTAACCCGTGTACCTTTTATTGAAATCGCGTTCAGCCGATAAAGCGTGATTGAGTAACAAAAATACAAACATCCAAACATATTTAAAAATTTTTACATTAGTACTATTAAGCAATCTGATATATGATGAAATAGCAGAAAAAAATATAGTAGTTATATGAAATAACGATAAACACCTCATCTTCGATTATTCTATAGTGGATAAATGGCACCAAGTTCAACCAAAACCTGATTGTGACTACACGAAGCACAGTGACCTGCAAACGTAGATAGTGGTGGTGTTACGTGTCGCAAATAAGATGGTAACAGTGCCACGGACACTGGCCCCTGTCCAACAGGTTGACCCAGGTTATGGGCCCAGACATGTATCGTAAACTAGATGCTGTCCGCAGCGTCTCCCGTGCAAACTTGTTATTTACCATTCTTCCCGATGTAATTAAATGCTTTCTTAATAAATAGGCATAATTTATGAGAAATCTGATAATTTACAGTTTTCTAATTTAACTGTATTTATAAATGTCTTGATTGATAATTTATAAGCAAGAAAATTCATAACAAACACCTTCATTTTATACAGGGGAGGATACGTAAAATAAAATTTTATACATTTTTATACTTTATTATTTTTATTATTTATTTATACTTTATTGCACCAAGTAAAAAGTGAAATAACAAATACAGTAAATATTAATGAGAATTGATACAAAATACATATTTAAATTAATTTTATGATAGATAAGGATATAAATATCTACTTAATAAAAAACGATCAACGAAGTCGCGTTGTCTATGTAACGATCTGAGTATTAAAATATTGCCCTTGTCAAGGTAATATTCTTTATCTGTGCTGCTCAGAATAAAGTGTTCTCAATTCAAATTTCTTATTTAAATATTTTCTTTTTATTATAATTTTTTTTTAATCATTTACGTGGCGACGTGTAAAAAGGTTTGAACTTAAATATAAAATTCCCGCCAACATTTTCATTACAACATCGTTACAATAAAGATACATATAAATTATCAGACAATTGAATAACAAATAATGATTTATAAACAATAATTCAATCTTTTTTTTATTATATTTCCTTTATCTAATGTTTGCTATAATTTTTACCTCCACGTACATTTCTATCTAATCAAATGTAATTAATCACATTATGTTGCTTGTAATCTCCTCCCCACTCATAATTTTATTTTTACCAAATTACCAAAGTAAAAGGGTTTTACAAAGTCGCCATTTTGTGTCATAACCGCCATGTTGGACGGTACGGTTCATGGTTCATATACATATGTACAATTAAATAAATTACATTACGCCATTTACCTACGCCAGAGTGCTGTCAGCGCTTTGGTGCATCATTATTATGTAAGTATTCGTATATAGGCGGATTATATAACTGTTTACCAACAAATTACATTCATAATTTTACATACGAATAATATCGCGTGTGTTTATTAAATAAAAAAAAAAAGTAAATATGATTACGACTGTCAGACATAGACCAAAAGCACTTGCCGATTATAAATGTTGTCGAAACCGTAATACTGGCCTTAAAGAGAGGCCAGGAGAATATTTTTTTATAATACCTAACGTTATATACGTGATACAAAAACTTTGTTCCCCTTTTTTACGAAAATTGCGCCGACGTAGGAACATAAAATTTGCCACACTTATAATTTATATACTCGTAGAGGAGTGCAGAATGTTAATATTTTTTTTTTATAAATTATGCATAAAATTACATTAAATCAATAAAAAAAATATGTACACACACTACCATGTATTTGACACAGACACACGCATATGTACTCTTTTATTTATTGTTAGTCTTTTTTTATACAACTTAGAATGGCAAACAAGCTGACGGCCCACCTGATGGAAAGTGGTAACCGTCGCCTATAGACATGAGCAGTACCATGGACATAACAGAGTATACAGTTTCGCCCATGATACCCCCCATGCGTTGCCATTCCTAAGGACTCGGGTGTTATTCCTCTGTATCCAGTAAATTCACGCCATATCCCACCCTTCAAACCGAAACACAGCCATGCAAACACAACTGCTTCACGGTTGAAACACGAATGGGACAGAGGTACCCGAGCAATCGACTTTTGTACAAAGTCTCCCTCTGGTAAAATTTCTAAAATGTAAAAGTTAATTAAATTAAATATTTATATTAACTATTAGTACATAGAAGTTATGCGCCTAGCAAAAAACATAACACCTTATGAAATCGCCAAACCACCGCGGCCGGCGTCTGCGTCTGACGCAAGCATTTTTCTCAGAGACGTAATTGCAATTTGCAATACGGAAGCAGTGTGTAAACGCGAATGTTGTTTCAAAATTCGGTCAAAAAATTGAAAAGTAATAACACATTCTAATTATTTTTTGTGTCTATTTTAAAAAAAAAAGGTAGTCATAAACTAAAAGAACCGCGCACCAAACTCGTTTACACTTCTATATTAATATAATAAAAGAAGAGAATTGATTGATTGAAAAAAAATATCTAAAAAATTAAATATGAATATATTTACGTATTTATTATTTTTTATTTATTTATTTAAACTTTAATGCATAGTAAAATTATTTGTACATTTGGCGGACTTAAGACTGTTCTCTACCAGTCAACCATTGGGCCAGTGTTTTCCAACCTTTTTTGTGCCATACCCCACTTGATCATTTCTAAAATTTTTATGCCCACATACATATTTTTCCTCGACAAAGTTTACCTGACGACTTTGATTGCTCAGCTGATATTTTGGTAACGTCAAACAAAATCATACCTAATAAATATTTACAGCATTTTTAACTCACTTTTTTTGTTAAATTTGGCACCGATATCTACTCGTAGCATTTAAATAGCTCGGAGCAAGAGGATTAAAATCGCTTCGAGACCACTTTTTAATTGCTCCTCCTTAACTATCAAATTTCCCCCCTGCGGGGCATGACCCCACGTTGGGAAACACCGCATTGGGCAAACTGAGAAATACGTAGGCGTTGCATTACTGAATAAAGAAAAATAAAGCAATACTTGATATATTCATATAATATATATTACCAGAGGGAGACTTTGTACAAAAGTCGTTTGTATGGGTACCTCTGTCGCATTCGTGTTTCAACCGTAAAGCAGTTGTGTTTGCATGGCTGTGTTTCGGTTTGAAGAGTGGGATATGGCGTGAATTTACTGGGTACAGAGGAATAACACTTGAGTCCTCAGAAATGGCAACGTATGGGGGGTATCATGGGCAAAACAGTATACTCTGTTATGTCCCTGGTATATAGGCGACGGTTACCACTTTCCATTAAGTGGGTCATTAGCTTGTTTGCCACTCTAAGTTGTATATAAAAAAAATATAAACATATAAATAGACTAATATAGACATACACCTATTATATTAAATAAATAAATATATACATACATAAATAAGTACATAAAATATTACTATATAAAACAATTAGATAAAACAACTGTAATAGAAGAGCAAAGAGCAATTTATTTTTTTATATATTCCTTTTAATAGAATGCATTCGTGTACGTAATATATATAGTTACAACGTTCTCATGAAGAGTAAATACATACCTAAACAGGGTCCTGTTTAGGTATAGCAACATTTAATCGATAGGTAGCTAATATACTTGTCAATTACTTTTAGAAATAATTTCGCATTTTTATATATTATATATATTTGACACGCAATAATTTCGATTTACATTGAATAAATAATTAAAAAATTGGTAATATCATATTAATATTCAGTCCATAATGAGGCAATCGGAGGCATTTATTTAATTACTAAAAGCCCACCTAGACAAGCGGTAAACAAGTACCTTGATGGAATCTAATCTACTAATCCTCTTACTAACAACCTCTTATCCCCCATTAATGATAAATTTGCCAGATAGTTTAAAAAGTATGATCCGCAATCATTCTTTATCCCACTATCATCAGTATTATTTTTATCTGGACAAAAACTAATTTTTCTTTCAAGTTGAAGAAAATAGAAATAAACCGTACATATTTACAAAATTTTATTAAAATCTGTCGAAGGATTTCGGAAATCATCGTGAATAAATATAATACATATACGTACATATATATCTGTCGCGCTCGTTTCCCATTTGGGTAGGTTCCAGAAACAATGGAACGTCAAATGCTTCGATTCAAACACGCTCGCCGGTTACGGGTACATTTAATTTGGCCCTTCTTCAGCACGTCGCCTATTTGGTCGACGTATGTCCGTCTAGGGTGGCCTCTACCGATATCTCCATCCATTCTTATTCAATGAATCTCTTTCATAATTCTTCTTATATCCATCCTCTTCAAATGGTCACCCCAACGCAACATTCCCTATACCGTCTTTAAGTCCATGCTTCTCTCTAATCATACTATTTTTTTAATTACTCTGTTGTTAATATATTAAATTACGTAAAATTTAATACTCCGTATCTTTTTTTTTCCAGTAAAAATGTCACGTAGATTGACGAAGCGGTATGTGACGCAAGCTGACGAATACAAGTGCAGTTTGTCGGCGGAGACACAAGCTATTGCACAAGAACAACTCAGGGAGACGGAAAACTCCAGGTCTCAGGCCCTCGCCGCGCTCAGAAACTGGCTGGAACAGAACCCCAAGTTCATGGCCATTAGATTAGGTAAGTTTGTAATTGGCGTTATTTGGAATATCTCTTTGTAACAGTACCAGAATTCTACGCTGGCCGATGCAAGTACGCGCTAGCTCTTTGGTCTCCCACACGCCGACCTAATAGTCAGTGATTTTTAAATAATCTCCTAGCCCTCGCCCTTAAAGTCTTACGGTTTCAATTTGAGACGTCACAAAAATACAACAGATCTAGCATACATAACATAACAGAAAAGCCTAGAAACTCTTGATACCAAAGGACGACGCCCTCACACAGTTACTATTAATAACAATTCTAAAATAATATGTTTCGCACTTTATAACCGCCAGCTGCTTTAATATTACTTCAAAATCAGGACAATCTCAATTGAAGAAAGATTTTTTTGGTGGATAAAAATGGTATGGTTCCCCCTGGAAACTATCATGGTTAATTCCTGATGAATTCATCATGATGAGCTAACTGGCCTGTTTTCATTCTCATCGATCACCCTTCATTGGTGCTCCGCCAGCATATCCCGTTAGCGCAGGCGCGGTTATCATTCTCATCATCTTATCCTTATTTGTCACTTCTAGTATTAAAAAAATTATTTTATGAATTACAGATTCAAGCTTTCTCCTTCGTTTCCTTCGAACAAAGAAATACAGCGTCCCGATGGCTCAGGAGGCTATCGAGAGGTATATCCTGCTGCGTCAGTCCTGGGGCATCGCCTTCAACCAGCTGGACTACAAGCTGCCCGTCATGATGGAATTGATCGACCTTGGGTGAGTCCTGATCACTTTTTATAGCGGCAAAGTAGTTTTTTTATCCAACTTAGAATAGCAAAGAAGCTGATGGGCCTTCAGATGGAAAGTGCTAAAACCATTGCCTATAGACATGAACAGTAACATGTATGCCTCAAATCAGAGGGAGACTTTGTACAAAAGTCGATTGCTTGGGTACCTCTGTCCCATTCGTGTTTCAACCGTGAAGCAGTTGTGTTTGCATGGCTGTGTTTCGGTTTGAAGGGTGGGATATGGCGTGAATTTACTGGGTACAGAGGAATAATACTTGAGTCCTCAGGAATGGCAACGCATGGGAGGTATCATGTATTACTAAACGAGTAGGCGAAACAGTATACTCTGTTATTTTCATGGTACTGATCATGTCTATAGGCGACAGTTATCACTTTCCATCAGGTGGGCCGTCAGTTTGTTTGCCATTCTAAGTTGTATATATAAAAAAAATCAATGATTTTTATTTATACTACTGAGAAAGATAAACTGACAGATTGATGGAAAACGCCAAGGGCGTCACATAATGCACTATGATGCCTATGATTATTGCGTTTATCATTACGCTCAACCATATTTTAAGGAACTCAACGACTTGACCTATCACGGCTCACCAATCAGGACCTAAATCGTTGATAAATTACTTGTGAATAATATTTATTGTATTATTGTTTCAGGTTCATATTTGTCAGTCCGTTCAAAGACAAAGGCGGCCGGCGCGTTGTCATATACAGGCCCGGTAGATATAACTTCATAATATTATCTACGGATTTGTATACTCATATATAATTACGTTATATATATATTAAAGTATGTATTATCACAAATTCATTTATTATGTTTAAGATTTTAATTCATTTATATTCACACAGCATGTCATCTTAACTTTATCTGCCTATATAGTTTTATAAAATCACACTTCTGTTCGTTAGATCTGTATTATTTGACTAGCCGTTTCCTGCAGCGTTGCCCGCTTTTAACTATGTAGTTCCCGTATATCATTCTCATTGGAAGGCTTCATTAATCCAGTCTTATATTGTATTATATCGTCATAGTCGTAAAATACTGACGGATCTAACAAAGATTACATATAAAGATCCGTCAGTATTCTACGACTGTGACGATATACTTAAATGATATTTACGCACCTAATACCTTCATAAAGTTTCAGACAATTCAACTGATCGGTTATTTTGTAACATTTTATATGTGATTCTTTAGATTGATATAACTTTTTTATGTACCGATTGAAATAAAACTAACACTAAATATTAAATGGGGCAAAACACAATGCATTAGTGAAAACCAGATTCAAATCGATTAAGCCGTTTCTGAGATTAGCGTGCAGAAACTTACTGACAAACAGACAAAAATTCTAATAATCATTGTTTCGAATTCTATTGCGATCATAAAGCCTCCCTATAATAGTTTTCTTTTTTATATCTTCCATGTACAGACAGCGACCAGTTACGATTTTATTATATGTATTGATTAATTGATTGCATGACAATATAAATATCACTCCAATAATGTTACGCACAAAAGGCCGGCAGCGCACCTGCAATGCCGTAGGTGTTGTGGGTGACCATGGGCGGCGGTAGTCACTTACCATCAGGTGAGCCGCATGCTCGTTTGCCCCCTGTGTTGTAAAAAAAATAACAATAATATTTTATTTATTAAAGCATTCAGGAATGGCGCCGCATATACTTTTCGCTATCAAAGTTTATCAATCAGAAATATAACTGACTGATAAGAGATTAACACTTCGATAAATTTCTTTACTAATGTTAAATAAATAAATTATACAAATCATATGAACAGAAATAATACATATTATTATTTGTAAATATAAAATGTAAAAGCAAAACGTCATCGTTAATGCTTATATTACTGTATCCTTTCCCATAACTATATCATTACGTATGTACCTATGATTTAAACCTTACAATGCTTTTGCGCTAAATCTATACGGACCTGCTTGTCTACCATGAAATGAAATTCCGAAATTTCGGACTCAATTTCGTGTTTTTGTTTGTACCAAAATCGGACCAATTAATGGAGTTTAACATTTCGTTCGTCACACATCCTATCATAAAAGTCCAAAGGAACAATATATATATAATTATAGTATTTTAACATTTTTGGTATTTCCAAACGGCATGTATTATGTAATTTTAACATCAAATTTGTGTTTCGTTCAGCTCTGAAATTTCGGAAAACATTTCATGGTAGGCCCTCTGGTACTATAAATCACATCGCATCCATCCATATCTCATTAATATCTAATTAATTCCATATTATATAGATGTATAGTGAATTGTATAATATATTAAAACATAATAACTACCGTGAGTTATACTGTAGTGTAATTATTTAGGACTTGTCACGATTTAAATTCAAGGATGTCCGACTAGTTCAAAACTCAATAGGAGTCCAGCCGCCGCCGCACGCATTCAGCCACAATCAGCGCGCTGGTAGTGCAGTGCTGTTCGCGCTACAGCCGTGAACCACGCTCATGAATAAGCACTCCCATTGAGTTTGAGACTAGTCGGGCAACTTTAAATTTAAAATTATGTGTAAAGCCGACATAAATAATTACAATAATAAAAAACGTTGAGTTTGCCATATTAATTTGAGAGGTGAACGTGTCTTAGGGGTCACATTTTTTGTCGGTATTCATAATCACCTATCGTTTATTGTTATTCAACGTATACCAAATGCACAGGTTATACAGGGGTTACCATTTCATTTATATTAAAATGTATAGTCCAGAAATCGAATCGAATAAAGCATTACAAGTTTTGTAATTTAAAGGTATTTTACCTTCTTCCGTTATATCAGCCTTATCGTACCTTGAACTGATTACTTATATGTTTATCTACTTTCCTTGGATACGGAAAGAGAGGAATTAATACGTATTAATAATATTTAGAAATATTAAAAAAAATCTGATTTTTCTAATATAGATTGAATAAGACCAATAATAAATTTTATTAAAAATTCCTAAACACATTATAGTATCGTTAATTTTAAACAAAGGATGTTAATACATTTCCCCTACTTCCCATCAGGTGTCTTCGACCCGTACAAGTATACCAACCAGGACATGTGCCGGGTAATGGGCATCTGCTACGAAACCTTGATGGAGGACGAGGAGAACCAAGTCCGCGGGCTGGTGCACTTCGCAGACGGTAGCGGAGTCAGCTTCCCGCATCTCACCCTGTTCACGCCTAAGGAGGCTGTGAGAATTGTTAAGAACGGTGAGGTGGGTACCTGATGTTTTAAATTTAGATTTGAATAAGCCTTTATAACACGAATTATGAGATAAAATCAGACGATATAGTTCTCTGGCTTCTCGGTGCTCTCTGTCTACTGCTCAACGTATTTAGCGTGAAGTTAATTATCTATTTCAATAACAAAATCATGAGGCTTCGCGTAGATGGTGTTCAAATGTCAAACATCAAATTTACATAAAATAAATTTATTGTTATTTCTGTTTATTTTTTTAAGAAATTTTAGCCCCTAGGGCAAATAGCAAAGATACAAAAATTAAAAATAAAAAATGTTTATATTATCTGCTGATAAAAGCCTACATGGAACTCAGTGATAGACATCCCAAGTATCTCTTCTCCAATTTACTTTTGTACAAGATATGTTTTTATTTGTATGGGTACAATGACTATTAATAATTTCTCACCTTACATCTATTTCAGAGAACTATCCCCATGAGACACAAGGAGATATACGGTGTTAATGTCCACCCGACCATCAAGTTCGCATTAGATTTCGGCATGGCTCTCATCTCTGAGAAGATTAGGAAGCGAGTGAAACTGTACAGTGCCCCAGAGGACGTGGAGATTGACAAAACATTGCTACCCAAGGAGTACGGCGGTGACATGCCCATGAAAGAGATGATAGGTAAGTATAGTTTTTAATACATATTACCACACAATCCTTTTATATTTCTTTGTACATATCAGACTGGCAAAAAAGCTAAGAGCCTTATGGAATCATCGTTGCCTATAGACATGACCAGCGCAAAAGAGCATCACAGAATACAGTATGACGCTTATAATACCCCTCATGTCCTATGGTCCTGGCACAGAAAGAGCAACTTCTTCCTTTCCCATGGGTGTAGTTAGAGGCGACTAAGGGAACTTGTCGAGGGATGGGTGGGCAGCAGCGTCAGCTTAAAACATCACCAAAACCCACGTGTCAAGCTACTGACAAAAGCCCCCTAGTCTAATCTGATATGATGATGATGATGAAACTATAAATTTTGATAATTATTGTATTTTATGTTACATTAAGAATATCAATTACAGATTTATGGAAACAAGAGCTTGAAAAGAACCGAGACACTCTGTTGTTGAACGACAAAATGGCGGTCCGTCTAGAGATGTACAGCGAGGCGGCGCGAGAGGGCGCCGTCTCAGCACTCCGATCCGGCGCGAAAACGTGCGCGGGCGCAGACGCCGTCGGTGACGCGATGAGGGGCCTTACGGGGAACTTCAGAAAATTAGAAGTAGACTAGCTAAACTTGACTGATTACAAAAACTATATTAAGTTATAGTGGGATAAGGTAATATAATTTTAATCATATAAGGCACTAAAAGGAAACCATGGAAAGAGGAGTACTTGTTTGCAAATATGTTTAACCGAAGAAGATGCAACGCCTTTGAAATAACAACCAAATAAAGCTACTTTTAAACTGAAATAGCGCGATATGCAAGATGGCCAGAGTTCCTGGGAGAAATGATCAGACCTCTCCGATAGATGTGTCTACAAGCAACAAAGAATTCTATTAGTAGATTTTTAACATACCTAGCACACATGAGAGAGAACAGGATGAAGACTTTGCTGTCGCATGTCTTATACATCCGGTAGCGAAAACGTATCTAACGATATGTCACTTGTCTACGGGGCAGGGTTTACAATGCACATTTATAGCCTAAATTTATCGGATAAGAGAGCTAGGATTTGGTATGTGTCAAGCTATAGGAACAGAACCATTGATTAATAGATCAGTCAAGATCATTAATGAAGTATTGCCATTTAAATTTCTACAATTTGGGTAACATTTCCATATTTCCATATATCTTTGGCGATTTTAACAAATTCCTTTGGTCATTTTGAAATTAGAAGTGGCAATACTATTAATGACTGATGCCTTTACCCGTGGTATTATTAATATTTGTATTATTATATTTAATAAGATAGAATCCATGACACCGTTTTTATGTACCTAAATTAGGTATAGGATTAAAAATAAAGTGTACAAATTATTTTGGGACTATTATTAAAACCCTTTGTAGTTTAATAAGTTCTTTATTAAAAATCCATTAACTACCTAAATGGTAGAAATTAATACATATTCAACTTCGTCATTTAATTAACCAATTTACACAAAATGTGACAACTATGACACAGTCCGATAAAATTCAGAAACAAGATTTGATTCATTTAAAAATTGCATGGACGCAAGCCTACAAACTTCTATAATTATGGCACAATAGTAACAGGTAGGCATGTAAACCTATTTATCTGCAACTAAGGTACAGTCAGTTACATGTATTAGGTGACAATACAATCAATTTTTAATCAAGTTACGAATTTATAAAAAAAATATTTATGCAACCGGATATGAATTAGAAAATTGTCAAATTTCTTGCAAATTAAATGATCGCACAGGTATACCTATAAAAAAGTATTGGTGATAGAAACAGAACAATAAGTGTTTCGTGAAAGACTACAAAAACAACAAGACTTCTCATTGCCCGCCAGATGGTATTGGGCGGGCGAGGTTGGGGCCTCAGGGTGTACCCCACTACCTCTGCTTCAACTCCGGAGGCAACGACCTCCGGGTCACTGGATTTGCAGTCGACATACACTGCTGGTCTGTGTATGACGGCGTAGCGTGTGAAAGACTTAAAAGGCGTATAAACTAATTTGCTCGATGGTGAACAATATGGGGAGCTCAGAAACACTCATTGCCATAGTAAATATTTCATTTTAAAATGTATTAAACATTTCATTATCAGAGCTTCCAGTGAATAGTATTTTTCCAGTTGCCATTTCAAAATTCAGTCCATACGGCTGAGCAAGATGTCCCTTTATGGGATAAGTCCGCAAATGTATATTAAATCTTTTAATGTATCCAATATAAATTATGTACAATAAAGATTTTTACAATACAATGTCCACACCATGTTCAGACAGTATTCCTAATACATTTTTTAAACGTTCCTCTTTACTCGTATACGAAGCTGACTGTACCTGTACAGTTACGGGCAATAACAGTGGTCAATTTGGCACTCGTTGTCTACTCTTTAATAACATTCTAATTCTCTTATGAACTCATCTAACAAATTACAAATCGAATACTATCCTAAAGTCAGATCGCTTTATATGTACTGGCAGTAAACATCACACTTTAGAAAAGAGATAAACACAGCTAAGTACCGCTTTGTAGGTTTGTTACAACCACCTTTGTTACAAGTATTTAAGTTGTGTAAAAAAAAAAATTGCACTGAGAATGACGGCTTCTCTGGTGGTAAATGATGCCCCTCACTTATAGACATGATCATGAGACACCGTGCAAACAATATTGTAACATCTACAATACGCCTCACGCGCCGTCATACCTTTCAACTAAGCATTCGTACCCCGCAATTCCATATTTAAAACAGATATTAGTTTTCTAATGTACGATGAATTTCCTGCCAGATACAGCACATAAAATACAATGGGAATAAAAATGAACGAACATCATACAAATATTTTACTTTGGCATATGTTTCTGAACGGCATTCGTGTAGAAGAATGCAAACAAATCTCTGGTTAATCGATCAGAACTATTTTGTTTCGTTCCGTTTGTTTTCGTTATATGTAAGACTGCCATCATTTATTAATCTGTCTACTATTATTATTAGTAGAAGTTATACGCCTTTAAAATTAGTCATCAATCTTTAACCGTTTTTCTTCTAAACAAAGTAAATTATTAGATTGGTGTTCGGAGTCCACTTGTAAAGTTCATCTTTGGCGCTCAGATTGTGAATGACTCAATATCGGTTGCATTGCCGTATTTATACCGTATTAGTAGGGGAGGGCGGTGGGAGGGCACTGTCATAAATTCGGTAGAAGATGCACAGAGATGCAACATTTCTACGCAGTTTCAGTGGGTCGAGCCGGACAGTAAGACGCCGATCGTCAACAATTCGAGCTGCCAGACTTTGAATGCGATCTAACGAAAGGAGTTGGTACTGTGGCGCTCCTGCCCACAGGTGAGAACAGTATTCCATGTGTGGCCTCACTTGAGCTTTATACAGTTTCAGGCGGTTTTTCGGCGTGAAATACCGTCTCACCCTATTGAGCACCCCCCACTTTTTAGAAGCTATCTTAGCTTTTTCCTCCAGATGACCGCAAAACTGGACGTCGTACGAGGCTGATAGAAGCAAAGCTGTATTAGTGTGACCAAAATCGATCAGCGAAACGCGAATGGAGCTGAATAAGTGGGAGTAGTCCCTAAGACTAATTGTTGCAGTGTTACCAGTCAAACAAGGCCATCTCATCCCTCGTACGTGGGATAGGTGGGGGCGTCGGGGAGGACCCCTTTGTCCTGGTTGCAACTGTCACTGTTGTTAGTACTGGGTCACTGGGTCAATGCATTCTTTAATGTGAAAATTTCATGCCATTGTTTTGGCAAAACACGCCTGTTCCAAACATTTTATTACTAGCCTCTGTAAACTGTGTTTTTCAACAAATAAATAAAATTATTATTATTATAGGTGAGGCGTGGTTAGAAAATCAAAACAAACCGACAACAACCAAAACAAAAAAGCAAGCAACTCACTTCTCAAAATTATTTTATGGCAAACTTTAGTAATCGTGTATAAACATAGCAACGCAGCAACCTTGACTTACTAAATATTATAAATATTAGTAGGCCGTGGATAGTAGCTATTTCGTAAATAACAATAAAAATTACTAATACTTAAAAAAATATTGTTTTTTATACTTTTTTGTTACTAATATCCACACGGCAAAGACTAATTCAGTTTGGGAGCCGAACGGGGTCAATACTATAACCCGAATAGCATTATTTTAATTTACCTGTAAACGTCTCGTTGAGATGAAATAGATTATTTTTTTTATTTATATTAAGTAAACAGTTACATAGACAATATATATTCTTAGTGCCGCGAAACTGCATTGCAGTTTGTCTGCAGTCGCCACATTTGCATGGACAGAATAACGATCAGATCGATGACGGAAGATCGTAGAACTAATAATAATAGTCAGTCTTCAATTATGGCAGTCGTGTTCTAAAGATTGTAAAATTGAACAAAACAGTTCCAAGCAAATAATACAGCGCCTCAACAGCTTAACTAGTGACTATCAACATTGGTATACACGTACCATAATTACGTAAATAAAACGTAGCGACCAAAAGATGCGTTTGCCAATCGTCTGAGCGGGCAGTGCCTCTCCTAAACTATAATTCGACGTTTATTATAAGTAAGTATAAACTTGCATTAAATATGTACGAAAGAACATTAATTTAGGAGTTTGTTCCACAAAGAACAGACTTCAAACCTTAACAACAAATAAACAAGCTAATTTGGTATGTGACCAACAAGGGCTTAAGAGTAAAGGAACATCAAAATCGATACAAAAGTTCTATTTATTATTATTATAATGCAACGCCATTGAAATGGATCCTTTGTGGAACAAAATCATAAACTACACATAACTTATTCCTTATTACAATTCAATACGACCCTACTATTGCTTGTGATATGGTAATGTCTAGAACATAAAACCTTATTACAAAAGTATAAAAGTTATTATCGCGAAGCAAATAGTATACTGGGCACCTTTTAAAACTTATAACTGAAGTCTATACAACAGGAATTCTTTGAACTATGTCTGTCGTTTCCGACAATTGTTACGACTTATAGTTGAGCAGTAAATTGTAAAAAAAAAATGTGCTAAGCTAATGCTCAGTAGGTATAGCAAATAAATATAGAATATTCTATATACAAAATGCTATTAAACCCTGATTTAACACAAAACTATAGTTAGTAATTACAGCTCCTATTACCACCTTCTACACTAGGCACTTTAATGTTTAAAGAATAGAAACTAAAATCGCATGTCCTTTATTCTTGAATATCTACCGTACCTACACATTACACTAATTTAAATTGCTGATTTAGTGTTGTATTTTAATTTCCCCGTCTGTCTGTTGTCATACATCCGAAATAGACACCGATTTCAATGGACCAACAAGCTTATCTGTGTTCAATGATACTTGTTTCCAACTCTGTAACAGGACACAATTTGTCGATTCACTTCGCCCAACATTACAATAAATTTACAACTAATTCTCAATCATATTTTAATTGTAAAATTTTAAACCGTATATCAGATATACATATATGCATATTTCTAGAGAAATATAGGTGAACGAAATAAAGCATGTAACGGATTGATACAACATTATTTGCTGTGAAATTTGAGAAACATGACGGGACAGAGCGACCGTCTCAACGTGTGATAGAAAATGGATGAATCAACTGTATCTAGGAGCAAATACAATGGATTTTCTGTGTAGTCGCAGCATAGAATAGGCCACCCCTTCCTTTCCCGTGAGTGTCGTAAGTGGCCACTAAGAGAGCTTGTGGTTGAGGGTAGTGTAGGTGGGAGAGTAGAGTCCCTCTTAACAACCGCTTGCCAATCGTGGCAACTACTTCGCAAAACGTCCCCTTATGAGGGAGGCTATGTTCAGCGGTGTACAGTTCATGGCTGATATGAATACGGATACAGTTAAGTTATCCATGACGTTGTCCACTAAAACTGAAGTACGACGCACTTTTTTAATTTCTTTTTTTATATATTAAAACATTGAATATATTGGGGCGGGCTTGTGTTACGGCAACAGATGTTGAGGCCTATCGTAAGGCCGACCTCTCGCCTAGTTGAAACCAAAACGAGAGATAACAGTGTCTCCCACCCGGCACCTGCGGAAGTCGGTGCGATTTCCACAGGCGTACACTGCGCAAGCGCAGCATGAAAGTGAGAGGCAGAGGCCATAAAAGCGTACACGTCCAGAGAATTCCGTAACATCGACCGGAGTGGGTATATTTTACAAGACAATGATTACTACGGATATTGATGTTGACATTTTTTTTCTATTCAAGAATCCCACTAATGATCATGCTCTAAGTGTTCCACTGATCAGAGAGCTCCACTCCTTGGCCGTCGCAAAGCGGTTCGTGCATATAAATATTACGTTTACAACACAAGAGCTACTAATAAAAAAAAAAATGTTTAGTAACACTTAAACGCCGTATATGTTGTCCATTGAAATACGGTGTCCGTTGAAATTGTTCTACGACATTTTTAAAAAATCAGTTTCTTTTTTTACATATTCACTTTTATTTCTATACATCAAGCCTTTATTTTTGTTCGTTCATCTTTTGCTTTATATGTATATGTATATTTTATAATTATATTACTTTTCCGAGAAAAAAATTAAAAAAAAAAGAAACCAAAAATCTCTATTCTAATAGTACATTTATATTTATTATCAAATCGTACCAACAATAAAATTTACTAAACCTTTCAAATACAAAGCTTAATTCCTGTTTATACATATGATGTTTAAAAATATGCCACAAATTGTTTGTTGCATATTTTTAAAAACCATGTATATTTAATTAATTAATTAATTAATTAATTACATCAACTAAGTCATCATCAATGTTAGCACACTTACATTAATAAATTCTCCCTTACAACGCCAGTTACATTCATTAAAATTAATAACTTAATAAAATTATCTATACGCATATTATTAGTTCCTAAAAAGGAAATTTATTTTAATAATTTCAATAAAATGAATCTTAATACTTATATAAAACAGCTAACAAACAATTATATAATCAATGTTATGTCACATAAAATCCTTTGGCACATTGCATTGGCTTTTTTCTCATATCTGTTCATAATAAAAAAAAAAAAATTATGTAAAATGTGCAAACTGTAATAGCAGTCTTATATTTTGTCTGTCGTGTAACAAGGTACCAATGTCACACTATCCCTTTCTACCCTTATAATCTGCCCCGTACTGAAGCCCGCATTCGGTTTAATAATCTCTTATAAACATTATTTTAAATTCCAATCTCGTAATGCGAAAATTGTGTGCACGGTGGTCTACGATCTACGTTCTTCCTATCTCAACACATATATTTAGACAATCTGTAATAGTAATTTGACAGCTCTTCTGATGGAAAGTGGTAATAAGCATCGCCTATTGACATAAAATCCACGAAGATCACAGAACACGCTGTGATGACATAGCAACATTCATGCGATGCCATACCCAAGTATTAAGTAATACACCCTGCACACATGTTTCTAGCTATTGCAATATTGAATGTAGTGTCTTAATTAAAACAATGACAACTAAAAACTTCAATATTCTTGATTTCATCAGAAATGGAAAACGGAATAAAATGAGATGAAATGAATAGAAATGAAATGAGGTGAAATGAAGTGAAGTGAGACGATATGAAATGAGATGAAATGATTTGAAATGAGGTGAAATGGGATGAGATGAAATTAGAGGATGTGAAATAAGACGAAAGGAGATGAAATTAAATGTGATGTCATTAGATGAAATGAGATGAGACGAGAAGAAATGAGATGATAAAATGAGATGAGATGAATGAGACAAGATGAAATGAAATGAGATGAGATGAAATACGTTGAAATAAGATGAGATGAAATAACATGAAATATAGAATTTTTTGTACACCTTTCATCTTTTCCGATTTTAGTACTTGCCTTTAACATTTTATCGTAAAAATTATTATAATTGAAAAACTGATAATTTCCACTTAGCTTCCCTCAAATCATCCATTTCCTGTTAATATCGGTGAATGAAGAAAGAACATTTATAGAGTCCTGACAATTGACAATTTTAATACTAACACGGAAACGATTCAACTTGTAGCTGAAAAAAAAAATGGCTAGAAAATGAATATCTGTGTATGTTTGTTGTATTTGTTTATCCGTACATCATAGCTCCGAAACGGATGAATAATTTAAAACGCGGTTTTTATTTAACACAGTTTAACTTGTTAAATGTGTAAATTGATTCATTTAAAATTACACATACTTGTACTGAATGATTGACAATCGTGTATAACACATGGGACATAATTATAATAGTTAAAACTAATTCTATTCGTATAAACACTATAAACTATTGGGTTAAAATTATAAAATCAATTCCACAGATGTAACCTAGATAGAACGACCACTGATCAACATTACTCAACAAAGAGTTTCGTTAACTGAAGTCCTGCACCTATTATATACATTTCACACGTGTAAACAGAAAAAAAATACCTTTGTGTAAACTGTGGCCTTACACAACTCTTGCATTTACACTTGCATGTGTACATTACAGGGCTTTTACGATCGAACTAAAATATAGGGCGAAAAATGTCCTCGTTGGATTTAAAAACCTGGAAAATTCCAGATGAAGTAAATATGAATGGAAGTACCTGCGCATTAAATGGCCAGCATTTTCGTGGACTATAAATACGAATTGAGCATAGACTGGACATAAATACATAGATATCATAATTGTAAGTACTTTACGTATAACAAGCCAGCCTTAGTACCAAATTGTATTCTTAAAAAAAAATTTTAATAACTAAAGGAAATAGATGCAGTAAAATATAATATTTAGTGAATAAACAATGAAAGAATTAGAGACGTTATTTTCAATAAAATATAGATAAGACGAAGTTAGACATTAATAAATAGCTTTAATAATATTACATTGAGTAATTTGGAGGTGACACGAATAATTTTCATACATATATTAAATATGCGTCGTCTAACTCTATGTATGTCTAGAACTTTAAAAAATTCGTTGTATTATATGCACCGTAATTTTTTTTTTTATATTTTGTCCTATAAAGTATATATAAGTAAATAATATATAAGATGGAGTGTGGACGTAGAGAGCATTATTTTTTACATAAATCTTGTTTCATAAAAAAATTGCATAAGTAATTTATCATTCCTATAAATACAAGTGGACGTTCCATCTCGATAAACATCTGTAGAATAGGAGGCATAAAAAGCTCACTTTACACGAATCATAATACGATTAATTTTGTATAACCCGCCAAATTTAACAAGTCTTTCACGCTGAAGGCGTAATATTAACAGACTAGTACACTTTCATCGATGGGGTAATACGAAATGAATGGTAATGATTCCTGTAATGCAGGTTTTTAAACTCCTAGAAACTTAATAAATATATATATAGAACCTGTGATGTTACAGTCTGTTCATATATTTATATTGCTATTACTTAATTGAGGTAATTAGGAAATTATTGTTTTTTTTTTTAAATAATATTCAGCGCGCACGAGTGGTACTGTATACGTATATTGCTATCTGTTTATGAAATTTTCAAATTGGTAATCGACTTTTGTGTTTAAATACCCGTTTAACTAGAATGTTTGATAGTTTAGCAGAAATGAAGAAATACAGTCAAATAATTAGTCCACACACCTATTTCGATACTCTAATTCCAATAAAACAAAAAATAATCAAATTTAAAAAAGTCTTCCGAAAACTAGTAAATCTATTATTGAAAAAAAAAACATGTGACATTCTTCTTATATGTAAAAAAGTCTAAAAACTTCTATTCCATATTAAGAAAGTAATTCATGTTCGTTCAAAAACATTACACTGTATTCCAAATACGAAATCTCAATTCATATTTTAAGGTTTCCTATCTCAATTCGACATAATCGAAAATTTAAAAAATTTATCGATTCACGATTTCAGATCGTACTTTTTTCAATGTACGTAAAAAAAAATGTTACAAAAATGAACAAACCAAGATAGATGTCAACGTACACATGAAAAGATCAATATCGATTTTTGAGAATCCAATCATTTAAACGTCGATTTTTCATAGATCAACCTCTTAATTCAAATCGATTGAAAAATCGATATTTTGCTCAAGATCGGAAACCTATATTAAAATAAGGATTTATATTAAACGTCAACAAATGTAACAACTTTTTTATTTATGGCAACGTATTTGAAATAGTGTAATTATTAATTTCAAATTTGCTTCAACTGAAGTTGACCGCAAGGAGTATCCATAAAACAAAGAGTATGCACCCAAATTTAAACATTATCAATATGACATTAGAGTACTTAATCGGTTGAGTCTAATTTATAAGAGATTACAGTGTGATCTCGCAACTGGCGTGTTTGAGTGTGTAGTTACTGAGTAGGAAGGGCGTAGGAACTAAGTCGACGCCGCGCCGTTGATGCAGCCGACGGTTCAGTGTGACGCAATTATCGGCACGCGTGGTGAGGGTGACTGCAAATGTTTATAGTTAATTAATTTATATATAATAATAATAATTAGATTATTTATCTCCACAAATTACAGCGTATAGATTATTTACTATATACAAAATAAAAGTATCATAATTTGTGTGAGATCTGGAGCCTAAACTAAGTCGTAACTTGTATCTTAGACACCAGGTCACTATGAATGAATTGTGTGTGATGATTACTTAGTAATAAATATATTAATAAATAAATCCTATCATTATCGACTACTCTATAACCGAGAGTTTTATTTTTTAAATATATATTTTAAAATTGATCGTAGGCACTTACCGTGTCTAGGCGCCCTCGGCAGTGTGAACGTGTCCTTGGGTCAGACCCAATACTGGTTCCGTCTGAGCATAGGGTTCGCGGGCGCGACGCCTGGTGCACGGATAGGGTACGCTGACTCGCTAGCTTCGTAACTACTCCAGTCTTCCGCCTGGTAGAAGCGATATTTTATTTATTTATTATTACAAAATTTACAATAATTCTATTTTTAATATGCGACAAATTACGGATTAACAATATTTAATGTATTTTTTTTTTATACAACTTAGAATGACAATCAAGCTGACGGCCCACCTGATGGAAAGTGGTAACCGTCGCCTATAGACATGAGCAGTACCATGGACATAACAGAGTATACTGTTTCGCCCATGATACCCCCCCCCCCCATGCGTTGCCATTCCTTATTTTCCATTCCAGGTGTTATTCCTCAGTACCCAGTAAATTCACACCATACTAATTATTCATACTAGTAATTTCAACTGCTTCACGGTTGAAACACGAATGGGACAGAGGTACCCAAGCAATCGACTTTTATACAAAGTCTCCCTCTAGTGAAATATTGGTAGTGTGGTCCTGACACAGAATAGGTCATCCCTTCCTCTTCCGTGGGTGTCGTAAGTCGACTAAATGCGAACGTGGGATGGACGCAGCGTCCCTGCAACATCTCTACAAGTATAACTGCGGTTGCCGACCCGCCTGCCAAGCGTGGCAACTAATTGCAAAACTCTACTTATGGGAAAGGCTTATGTTCAACAGTGGACAGTTAACGGCTGAAAAAATAATTTCATTTTTATAATTATAATAATAATAAAAAAAACCAGCGAGACAAAGCGCCGTACGCCCCTTATAAAAAGATTTCCGGATGAAATCGATACAATTATCGGAAACGGCAAAGACAGTAAATTTATTAAATTTCCATTGTACATGTATTACATGTATTAAAAAATACCTTACCAACATACATTGTATTAAAAAATATAAGTTTAAAAAAGTAACTTGGATTGAACCTTACACTTTGCATACTCACGTCGGTATGATCGTCCGCGCCGTACGGGTACCGCGCGTTCAGATCCGGCAGCGTGGGGTCGGCCAGGGGCGTCACTTTGCATGCGACGCTGCCCCCGGACGGTAGCGGCGTACTAGCACCAGTATGCACCGACTGTTCTGATGACACGTAACTGCTGACACAAACATGTTAAAATTAGAATGGATCGTGAGAGGAGACTGAGGAAACTCAATGATCGAGGGATGGGCAGCAGCATTGTGTTTGCATGGCTGTGTTTTGGTTTGAAGGGTGGGATATGGCGTGAATTTGCTGAGTACAGAGGAATATCATCTGAGTCCTCAGGAATGGCAACGCATGGGGGGTATCATGGGCGAAACAGTATACTCTGTTATGTCCATGATACTGCTCATGTCTACAGGCGACGGTTACCACTTTCCATCAGGTAGGCCGTCAGCTTGTTTGCCATTCTAAGATATATAAAAAAAAGCAGCTATGGGCTAACTGACCTGCCTTTTCATTCTCACCTATCATCCCTCACTGGTGCCCCACCAGCGTATACCGTTAGCGCAGGTGGGGTTATTATTCCATTATCATCCATTAAAAGAAACAGGTGGTACAGGGGTACCCAAACAGTGGAAGACTTTCGTACAAAGTTTTCCCACTCGTAAATTATGGCGCGAATCAGGAGCAAAAAATTTATAAAAAATAAGACCCTTCTTTGGAAGTTGTTTTTTTTTTTATTGTGATAATGTAAGGTAGCCAGCGCTATCGATTTACTCTGGTGAGGCGCCAGTGAGGAGACATGGTAGGTGAAAATAAAAACAAGTCAGTTAGCCCATAGTGATGAATTTATGAAATGGTTCCCAGAGGGTACCGCCTTCATGACGGAGTGGAGAGGAGATCGACCTGACATTGTTAGCAATGAGGCTGTTTTTTTTATGATAATGAAATGGTAACCCCACCAGCGTATACCGTTAGCGCAGGCGGGGTTAGTGAGACCAGTGAGAGATGATAGATGAGAGGAAAAGCCAAACAGGCAGGCAATACAACACGATGATTTCCGGAGAGACCATGTCAAGGATTGGGAATTAGATCCCCATTCCACTTTGGAAGTTGTTTAGAAACTCATTTGAAGCAATTACCGTTTAATAGGCGGAGTTATTTGCGACGGTGACGGCATCAGATGGTCGGGCGGCCGCGGCAGCGGTATGGGCGCCACCGCGCCCTGACTCTGTCCGTGGATCTTCACCAGCGCGTTCTGATCCCTCATGATGTACCGGCGACACTTGAGCAGCCCGAATATCACCACGATGGCCAGCACCGTCCCGGACAACGCCATTAGGATCATCATGTAGTATGAGGCTGTTTCGCCGTTCGCGACCTGCAGAGATATTGATTGATACATGGCGGATTTATAAACCGATCTTCCAATTGTCGCGGGTTCAATTCCAGCACGGAACAATACAATAACTTACGAATATATCTGCTAGAATTAATCATGTTTTATTTATACAATTTGTAGGTACATATCGTACATAGGTATATATTTGGAATAAAAAGAAATTTTCTTAGTTTCTGTTTCTATTGAATTTCATAAAAAGGTAAAAAAGTTTATTTGAAAATTATCACAGTTTCACTCTTTAAATGGAATTAGTAATAAATCGAAACATTTGATCAGTTAAAAGACTTTTGAATTGTACTCTTATTGGGCATATACAGACTGTCCATGGTCGGGTCAATTATTCCTATATTTTATTCAAGTTCCATTGATTGAAATAGACTACATAAACTCTACTTAGTTTGAAAATATTAATAATTAATATATAATAAGTACTTACTGGAACACCTTCGTGACTCTCCGGATCATTGGGTCCCGGCAAATTCTTCTTGGGCCTATTACCAATTAGTATCCTAACATCCCCAGTGGCTGGTTGAAATATCGTGGTGGCTAACTGGAAACGGAAACTGTCCTCCATTCCGTTCAATTCGTTCGGCTTTCTCTTCGTAACGAAATATATTACACCGGCTTTCAGGTCCTCGTGAGTGAAATATGTCACTTCCCTCTCTCTAGCGCTGGTCTTCTCACCAGAACTCCTGATTATCTTCTTTATAGACCCGTATTTAGGCTTTCGCAATATCGTATAGTACGGATCGCTTAATGTGAGCGTCGCCAAGTCCGTGGCATCCATAACGCTCAAAGTGATCTTCGCTTTATCCCCATCTACTCTCAAGTCTCCCAACGGTTTCATTAGAGGTTGAACCACAACGCTTACAGTGAACGGACGGGTCGAATTACTATTATGTACATACGCTATCAAGTCGAAACTGTCGTTCGCAGTTGTCATATCATTTTGCATGTATATAACAATGCGATCGACCAAATCTTTGTGAGAGAAGTACGTCACTGTGTTCCTGCCGACGTAAATCACGCCGTGGACCGGTTGACGGGTGATATTGTACCACACCTTATAGATTCCCGCATTAGTCTCTATATAAACTTGATCCGTGGTGACTGTAGCCACGTTTGACCCTTGCTGCAGGCTGATCGGCCGCAAAGATGTTGCATTTAGTATAACCGGCATGACATCTATAGTGAAAACCGTGTATGTCGGCTTGAACTGGCCATCCCACACTCTGAAATAGAACGTCGCGGTTTGAAGTACACCCGAATGCTCGTATATGACTTTGCGATTATTTATGTCTTCTTGTGTAAACTTGTTAATCGACTGTGCTTCGTCTATGGTTTGGTTTTTGTCTAACATCACAATCCTGCCCTGGGTGGGACCACTTATGATATCGTATAAGATCCCTGATGGACTCGTATCGGCGTCTTCGGTTAACAAGTCCTTTCTAGTTATCGTGTAATTCTCACCTTGGACTACTTGTATTTGGGGAGTATCAGTAAGTAGCCTGAATGGTTGGTCGTTCACTGGTATTATATGTATCGGTATTGTGACGTTACAGAGTAAGAAATAATCAGGTAACAGATACAAGGACATATCAATTTTATCCTGTACCGTGTCGGAATCGTCGTGTTCGTAGTTCACCACACCGCCCTCTAGTTGCGACTGTGTTAGTGACAGCATGGACGGCTTCAGTTCACCGTGGGACGGCTGGGACCACTGAGCCTCGACGAGAGGCTGCCGTAGACCAGCCTGCGTCTCGAGATACGCTATGACGTTAGTAACGTTCACTATTATCGGTACTTTGTCTCCTTCTTGCACGTTAATCTGTGGTATATGGACATATCTGGCTAATCCACCGGTGGACACGGATATATCTATGTGGAAGACCTGATCGGTTATAGGCTTCGCTAGAGCCGCTTCCACGGTGAATATGAATGAATCGTTTGTGTAAAGGTCGGAGAATGGATGAGTATGTTCGTAGTAAATTATCGTATCGTTCACGTCTTGTTGAGTGAACTGCTTTATCGATCTATGGTGATTCTCGCCGTTCAGCATTACGAGTCTGCCGAGAGTCGGGGCTCTGTCTACCTTGTATGTTATAGTCCGCGTGAAGTCCGAGCATTTGGACATCAGCAGGTAATTATTGAGCGGTTCCCTCATGAGCGGGAAGACGCGGAGGTTCAGATTCCTTATAAGTTTTAGTGATACTGACTTTGTGGTGATCAGGAATGTGATCTTGGATAGCTCGTGAAGACCATCTGTGACATTAAATATCATTTTACCCTTGGATCCATCTGGAACAAAAAAAAATATTAATTTAGGATGAAGCAAATACGTAGGGATACAGGTTGTTAGTTAGTATTAGGGTTTATCTGTCTACCCAACTGGACATTCATATCTACAATTATCGTCATCAGCATATCAGCCCTTAACTAGCTGAACATAAGGCTCCCCCTTGGGGAGGTGGTGCCAGTGGTTGCCACACTTGGCAGGCGGATTGACAACCGCATTTAGGCTTTGAAGATGTTTTAAGAGCGACAATGCTGCCCATCTCTCGCCCTCACTTAGTTGCCTCTTACGACACACACAGCAAAGAAAAGAGTGACCTATGCTATGACGGGACGGAACAGTTATCTTTAACTGGCTTATTCATAAAAACGTCAATCGACCAATAAACCTGTTTTTGTTATTGAATGTATTTTGTCTCTTTCTTTTACGCTAATTTCTTCGTTTGAAAATGTAATGTATGTAGTAAATACGTAGTAATCATGACGATGAATATATTACATGTAGGCAGTTAAATGAAAAAAATAAACATAAGTTTACAGTCGAATAAAACCGACTATGACGGAGAAAAGGTGTACTGCCACTTACTTTTATGTACAAAAATTACTTGTCCATTGTCAATGTCCGCTTGCGTGAAGTGGTATACAGCAGTCTCGAGATCTCTCTTCATCGCAATGTATCCAGATACTATATCTACCACTCGGATTGTCACATTTTCTAATGGCGTATCTATATCGTTTACATCTGAAATAAAATATATTTATTTGTACTATATACTGCATTGTACTTTATATTACTATTGAGGGACTTTTAAAAGTCGTTGTATGTGTCGTCGCATGGGTGTCTATCGCTGTATTTACATAGCTGTTTCTAATTCACATACTAGTATATTATATGACTTATAGAGGTATCTCATGAGTAGCCATTCCTGAGGATCATAATGTTACGCCTCTATACCGTACCATATTCATATTTGGTGCTTAACCGAAATAGCCGTTTTTCGATAAAGACACGGATGGTACAGAGGTACCCCACAGACGGATTTGATACAAAGTCTTCCATAAATTTTTTTTATGAAACTTAGAATGACAAAAAAGCTGACGGCCCACCTGATGGAAAATGGTAACCGTCGCCTATAGACATGAGCAGTACCATGGACATAACAGAGTATACTGTTTCGCCCATGATACCCCCATGCAATACTATTCCTAAGGGCTTTTCTGTACCCTGTAAATTCACTGCCATATCTATATTCACTGTCACCCTTCAAACCGAAACACAGCCATGCAAATACAACTGTTTCATGGTAAAAAGACGAATGGAACAGAGGTGCCCAAGCAAACGACATTTGTACAAAGTCTCCCTCTGGTAAATTCTGCAAAGGCAACTGATAATTGTTAAATTGTACTTATTGTTATTAGTAATAAAGATCAAAATCGTTAAACGTACACAGCTCGTTCCTGGTGAAAGTGAAGGTGCCTCCCTCCCAGACACATAGGCCGGTGTTGGCCGCCACTATGGGAGTCTCGTCGTTCACCGGTACTATGTTGACCCGTACGTGGAACGGCTCGCTCTCCTTGTTATTCTCCGTTATTGCGACCAATCTAAATGTATCCAACGCTTCCTCCGAACCGTCGTTGGTGTACTGAATATAACAATACGTGTCACACAATCACACCAATTGCCTGCTCCTCAAACTTGAATACCCTGTTACAAGGTATCAAGCTGAGAGCGTCTAAGGCTGACCCAGAATACTTAACATCGTCACCATATTAGACGATAACTGTCCACTGCTGAACATAGGTCTCCCCTATTGGGAAGTTTTGCCAGTAGTTGCCACGCTTGGCAAACAGGTTGGCAACCGCAGTTAGGCTTTGGTAATGTATTCAGAGGGACGCTGCTGCCCATCCTTCGACAATTAAATTCCCTTAGTCACCTCTTTAATCGCCCACGGGAGAGGGGAGGTTCATTCTACACCGGGACCACACAGCAGAACACCCACACCCGAGCCAAGTCAGAAAAGTTCGTTTCCTAAATTGACTCGACCGGGAATCAAATTTAGATCGCAATTATTTATATAAATATTGACATTACAAGTAAATTTTTATGCAACTAGCAATGGCGAACGAAATTTGGATTTCATAAGATACTTTATATACTAATTATAACGAACAAAGCCGCCGGAAACAGCTAGTTTATTATAATTACAGTATAAAAATACAAATTATCATAAACATACCTGTATGTTCCCAGAATTAAGTTTCAAAACCGGTAACAAGCCCAACTCTTGATCGCCCATCACTATCTTCCCATACTTCGGTTTTTCGACCACCTTGTACGTGACCACTTTGCCCCGGTAATACTCTGTGACCGTCCGGAACAGATCCGGTTTTAAACTGGCCGTTTCGCCTTCGACGACCGTCAAATTCGACGCAACGACGTAAAAGTGTTCCGGTATTATTACAACAGTCAACTCTAGGTCTCTCAACCAAACGATACCATTAGTGACGTCCATTTTTATCCGATCCCTCGTTCGGTTCACACCTGATTGCACGTAAATCAATCGATTAACATTTATGATCGATTGATCGAACACTCGAGTGTGTACCGGCTCTTCGTTGTAGTTCTCGAGTTCGATGGTCCCAGGTGTGGTTGTGATTTCGAGCCAGCCGTGGTAAGGGCCTTCGGTAACTTGATAGACTATATTCGATGGCTCAATTTGAGGATGCATAACCTGAACAAATAGACGTAATATATATTAGACATATTGTCTATAATTATTTAATATATATGTATGTATAATGTAGATAATATATTATATTATTATGTATGTTATTCATATATTACCATTTTATATTATTTTTTATTTATTTATTTGCTTATCACGTTGCATTGTCAATTATTTGTCATTTCTGTTTACAGTCTATTCGTAGATAACACCATATGGTGTTAAATCTAGGTGTATTAAAGTGTAATAAATAAATAAATATTTTTAATAATGGTAACACTACACTCTGTTTTAAAAGAACTTCATGAAAAAATAATCAAATTTTGTTGAAGTTAACACAAAAACACTCTCAAAATGAAATTAGAAACAGGCAATCAATAAATCGATTTTTTTATAAATAGGCACTACTATACGCAATAAGGTACTGTCACCCTTCGTAAAGTACAAGCCCACAATACTTCTCCACGCCTCGGGCATAACACTGTTACTAGATGACAAAATTAAATAACCTTTAAAAGACTACGAGTACCTTTATTTTTCATACTACTTAGATTGGCAAACAATCTGACGGCCCACCTGATGGAAAGTGGTAACCGTCGCCTATAGACATGAGCAGTACCATGGACATAACAGAGTATACTGTTTCGCCCATGATAACCCCCATGCGTTGCCATTCCCGAGGACTCGGGTGTTATTCCTCTGTACCCAGTAAATTCACGCCTGTTCTAAACCCGCTTTCAGAAACGCTGCTGTAATTCAGTCTTCCGTTTTTCAGTTGTTTGAGTAAAATTTTAAAGGAGCTTGAAATTATTTCTACAGACTAACTTATGATTGGATCAATTATTAGTTGTTCACATTTCCATTAAATTATATGCAATAGATTATAAAATGCACATTAAAATAAAAAATAAAATAATAAAAATTTTATAATAGTATTACGAACATGTCTTCTATATTCTCTGGTACTTGTTTCGTTATTGTGTATAAAATAATTGTATATATGAATAATATATATTTAAATATAATATATATTTTATATAGGTATTTATTTATGTAATATATATTGTTACAAGTATTTACATGTATGTTACGTAAGCATTTTTTTGCATAATTACTTATGCAATTAATTGCATAAGTTTTATTAACATGATAATTTTGTTATTAGATACATTTCTTGCGCCAAATAGCTATCATCTTTTGTAGTTTATAAGTGCAATATTTTTTTTTTTATATATTTTTTCGTATTACTCTATAAAAAGTGCAATAAAAATATATAAATTTCCAAATTCATACCTCCAAAACTTCTTTGGTGATGTTAACACTGGTGGACTCCTCGACCACCAGAGGCCGATTGGTGGTGACCCGCAGCGGCTCCCAATAGCTCGATGGGAATATCTTTATGGGATAGACATCCTCGCCCCATGTGTCCAAGCACATCACTTTGAATCTAGACAACAAAAAATAGACAATATTTTTTTATTAATTTATCGTGACGTCACATGCAGTTTGAACGGAAAGAAAAATTGTTTTACTTAATTAATATTATTTTAAAAATAAATAAATATGCTCATGATGTTGATAGTCAACAATGCCATGTGATCTTGGAATAGAATGGGCCACCCCTTTTCTGCGTGTGTCGTAAGAGGCGACTAAGGGCACTTAATAGTCGAGGTTGTCAACCCGCCTGCCAAGCATGGCAACAGCTGGTAAAGCCTCCCTTATGGGAAATACCTATTTTCAGCAGTGGACAGTAACGGCTGCTATGATGATGATGTAATGTCAAATTGTTATCCATCACTAAAATATTCTATTAAATCTCTAGAATTGTGCTTCAGAATAAACTCCAATTTGTACAAATTGGGGGGAGGGATCGTTAGTAATAAGAAGTTGGTCCACATCACTGATAATATACCCTATCATGTTGACTTCTTTTTTTTATACCACTGAGGTGGCAAACAAGCATACGGCCCACCTGATGGTAAGTGGTTACCGTAGCCTATGAACACCTGCAATACCAGAGGTATTACGCGTGCGTTGCCGACCCTGAAGAAACCTCTTTACCCCCCTTTTGAAGAACCCCATGCTGTAGTTTCTTGGGAAAACCTCGGCAGGGAGCTCATTCCACAACCTGAGTGTTCGTGGGAGGAAACATCTCTGAAACCGGGCAGTACGCGACCACTGAGGCTGTAGGACATGAGGATGAACTCCCTGTCGATGGCGAGCCGTACGATGGTAGAAAGTGGCTGTGGGCATCATATTGAACAATTCCTCTGAGCACAATCTATTGTACAGGCGGTAGAACACGCAGAGTGAGGCAAAATCTCTCCTAAGACTCAAAGGTTCGATACCGCTTGTGAGCCTGAAATCATCGACAATTCTCATAGCTCGTCGTTGCAACGAGTCGAAAGGTTCAAGCTGGTATTTAAGGTGCTCCATACGGTCTCGTCTGGAAACTATTGTTTAATTCCTAATCCCTAGTGAATTCACCTCGTCGACCTTCGAGATGGTTCCCTCTGGAAACCACCTTGGTTAATTCTTTATGAACTTGTTCTATGTGTCATCTAATCTGTTTCCATCCTCACCTATCATTACTCACTGGTACCGCGCCAGCATTTGCCGATACCCCATTGTCACCCCACTAAAAAAAGCATGTACAAACCGGAATTGATCTGTGGGCGTCTTCGGCTCCCTGTGCCTGTAAGCGACTCGACCGGCCGCCACGTCCAATTGCGTGAATGAATACGCGCCCAGCCCCTCGCCCACTTCGATCGAACCGTGCTTCGGCTCTATCATGACTTCGTAACGAATGTCCTCCTCTAAGCAGTTCATGTTTGTGTCAACCTGGGAAATTTAAATAAATTAAATCAAAATAATTTATGTACATTATATTACTTTTTTTTTTGTAATTTCATCCCAAAAAACTGACTAAAAAATAATAAAAAAATAAAGTTTTTTTTTCTCAATCGCTTACTATTTTGTATATTTATTTAAAAAAAATCTCAATTAGCAAATTTTTTTGTTTATTTTTTTTTCTTGTATATGGTATGCAGTATCTTGGTAAATTTTAAACAGATTAATCATTTTATAGTCAACAAAATTTACTCTCACAGTAATTTTATCAGTGAAGAAATTGCTATATTTTGCTGGACAAAAATTGAAATTATTTCTCGCATAGAGTTCTAAAAAGATTTTTTGAACATACCTGCATATCTCTGGTGGTGATAACAACGGCTTTCCCATTTTCCACAATCGAACCATTTGTGGGGTACATTCTTATGAATGGAGGTGATGCTTGAATCTCTAAATTCCCATTCACATCGAATAACCCATCTGATACCCAAAACGCCATCTTCCCATACTCCTTCCCTTGATGTTTGAACAAAACTAGATTCTTGTTTATATCGTCCTGGGAAAACTGAGCAATATTTTCAGAAGGATTGTCAGCCCTGAAGATACCACCGTTGGGGGGATCATTGGTCTGTATCGTATAAATTATATCCGAAGGTTTAGTGTCCAAATCTGCGTCGGTGTAACTCAGGTCCCTGGCGGTGATCAACCTGGCGCCCCCGTGTACAATATGGAACACATTATCGTTGACTCTCACTGGGCTGTTATCATTTTTCAACATTATATCTATGTGGAAAACACCTACGTATTGAAAGTCCTCAGGCTCGGGACTCAAAGCCATGAAGTGGAAAGAATCATGCCTGCTCTCAGAATCGTCGTGAGCGTAGTAAACCTTATCCGAATTCAGTTCCTGCAGCGTGAAGAAAGTTGTATCGTTCGTTATATCTTTCTCGTTTTCCACCTCAATTTTACCGTGCTTCGGTAAATGGGTGATATTAAACACCAAATTTGTGACTACATCTGTTCGGAAATTGAGGTGGCTTGCAGGTATGACCATCCTGGAGCCTTCGGACACTTGCAACCTTTCTAGGGTAGTGTGGACCCTTCCGGATAAGTGGTCCGAGGTCATTGACGCCGGTGTGTGCGTTATCGTCATAACACCCGTGATATTCTCGCATTCTGTGGCGCTCACTACGAATGAGAACTCGTCTTGAATGTGAGAGTAGGCTCTTCTGTGAAGCCTGTACCACAACTGGTCGGTGTCTATGTGGTATTGGGTGAACGTACTATGACCTTGTAAGTGGCGTTTACCCGATGACAAGTGGAGTATACCATATTTCGGTGGTCCAAGTATAGTGTACTGGATGCGATCGCTGTGTAAAGCCAGCGGTCTCGTTTTAAAGCGCAAATGTTGTGAAGATATGAAGGCTTCTCTTGTGTTATTCAATATTAATTGTTCGTTGACCGACTGGTACAGTTCGAGTTTGATAAATGTTAGTCGAAAGTCGTATAATGTGTTTGTTCGTATCGTCCCCACAGATGCCTTGAACTGTAACAAAAAAATAAAGTTATGATTCTCCTCTTCCTTTTTGAAGTCGGTTGATTAGTAGATATTTTCACTGTAATAATTATAAATATACCTTGAAGTCATCGTGCGAGGGGCTGCCCAGTAAGTGCATATACCGGACTCTTCCGAAGTTCACCATCTCGCTGGTGAAAGAATCAACCGTCTGCCAAGTACCGTCGAGAACCCGCAGTCGTTCCACCACACCAAATTGTGGTGGCTTCACTATGTCGTACCTAATAGGTAGGTAATAACGCATCGTTAGTTTAACCATATATATCCACAGTTAGCGGCGTAATCAAGTCATAGTATACGAGAGTATGGGTAGTTTAACCAATCAAAACGATTCCAAAAGATCAGAAAACAAGAGCCCTTTAAGTAGAAATAAAAGTTATTTCAATAAATCAAGGATCCATGCAAGTTGGTTGACCATTCTCCAGTTGTGTTTATTTACGACATTACATTAGAAACCTCTAAAATTATCAGTGTTTCTCTACTATATTATGCATGTATTATACATATGAACCTTCTTCTTGAATCACTCTATCTAATAAAAAAAAACATATCCAAATCCTTAGCGTAGTTTAAAAGATCTAAGCACACATAGGGACAGATAAACGGGAATAGCTTTGTTTTATACTATGTAGTGATTCCTATTTATTTGAAATAGAGGAAAACATAGATGGCTGCTTTTTATTATGAAAAATCAAATTCCTGTTACGAGAACAAAGTCGCAAAAAAAAACTAGTATATAATGCAATTAACTCACTTCACTTGCACGTTCGTTTCATCAGCATTTGTAGTGAAGGTCAGGTTATCAGCGGTGATCAGCACATACGAGTTATGCACCAACTGTAGGCCAGTGTTGTTCACCAGGCGAACTTGGAGTGGCACTATGGAGATGCGGAGAATGCCTGGACCGCTGGTTTCTATGCCGTCTGACACCTAGTGCAATAAGTATTAAAAAAATAGAAAAATAATACAGTAGATGACCTCATCTAAAATATAATTAGTCATGTCCAGATAAGGGTAAATGGGATTATTAATTATGGGATCTAACAGCCCCATTGCTGGCAACATACCCATCCATCAGGCGACCTCCACGCGGCTCCACTTGAAACAATCGTTGTTAGTTATTGTAGAATTTACTACGATGAGCTAACTGAACTGTATTTTATTTTTTATTATTTTATTTTTTATAATTTTTTTATTTGTACATGTATCTTTTTTTACTGTGCATTTATATCTTTTGTTTTTTGTGCGCTGTAAGTAATTCAAATAAATTATCTATCTATCTATCTTTCATCTTCACCTATCGACTCACAATGGTGTTCAGCAAGCGTATAGCAATAATGCAGACGGGGTCATCATTCCATTCTCACCCATTAAAAAAAATGAGGGACTTACTATACAATTATTAATTATTAATAAATTATACAATAAACACCTGGATACCCCTGTCCCATCCATGTTTCAATAGTGAAAAAGTTGTACTTGAATGGCTGAGTCCGTTTGAAATTTGGGATATAGTGAAAATACAGGGTACAGAGGAACAACACTATAATCAAACCATACCAGGAATACCACGGAGTATTCTGTGATAATCATTTAGTCATAAATATAGGAAACAATCACACTTTCAATCAAATGGGTCGTCAACTTGTATGATATATAATGTAAAAAAAAATTCACCAATGTAGTATAAAACATTTTTCTTTATACAACTTAGAATGGCAAACAAGCTGACGGCCCACCTGATGGAAAGTGGTAACCGTCGCCTATAGACATGAGCAGTACCATGGACATGACACAGTGTACTGTTTCGCCCATGATACCCCCCATGCGTTGCCATTCCTGAGGGCTCAGGTGTTATTCCTCTGTACCCTGTAAATTCACGCCATATCCCACCCTTCAAACCGAAACATAGCCATGCAAACACAACTGCTTCACGGTTGAAACACGAATAGGACAGAGGTACCCAAGCAATCGACTTTTGTACAAAGTCTCCCTCTGGTAACTTATCGTAGTCAAAGGCAGAGAGAGAATATGCTTTATTGGTACCATACATTGGAAACTGTGTTTTTCACCTATGTTTATGAACACACATGATTATTACAGAGTATTTTGTGATATCCCTGGTACCTTCATCTGTTGCTATGGATTGATCCTCCGTGAGATGATAAGACTTAATATTTTAAGTCCAGACAAAAATAATAGTATCCCATTTATAATGAATTAATATAATGGCTTTATTGCTGAAATCAATCGAAAAAATAAATATTAGAAGTATTTATTTTTAAAGAACTCTTATTACCCCCCCCCCCTCCTAGGAATTAACTGTGAATTCAAGAAAGTAAATTGTAGACTACCTATTTTATTATATTATAATTTAGCCATTCCAACATAGACTATATATTGTCAGATGTAACAAAAGCCATAAAAATTTCTCTCTCTTCAGTCGTACACGCTTAACAGAGTGGTCGTGGCTTTTATGATTATAGTATATCGTCGATGAGGCTCTTCTTGATTGAGGTCCTCGCAATGTGTCTCCATCTACTTCTGCTCACATATCTACAGCTGCTGCTACTTCTGCTGCCAAGCGAGAGCACTAAACGTAACGACAAAACGAACGTAAAAAAGTAAAAGTAAAGTACCTGTAAAGTGAGCCTGAGGGATGTTTTATTTAACTGCTTATCACTGGTAGAGCCGTGCACGTACGATATGAGACCGGCGTCGATGTCTTGCTGTGTGAATGAGTCCACTGGCTGTCCGGACATTTCGATGTGACCACTATGAAAATAAAAAGGATAAATTTATACCTAAGAATGGTAGAACACTTAAATTACTTTTATAAAAAAAAAATACTAGTTTAATTTCCTTAAATGAATATTAATATATACAAGAACTGTTATAAAACATATTTTTTGTGATTCTAGTGAAATTTTGGAAAGTTATTCTGTTGAGAAGAATCTACAAGAAATTCAACAGTCATAATTTTCAAATTTCTGTTAACATTACGTGTATTTTTTTAAATTACTAAAATAGTATGTAAAATAATAATGTTATATTAAACGCAATACAATAATTGTTTGCAAATCAATATCAGCATTTATCAGTTGTAAATCTGTATACAAAGTATCCTATGCAATAAGTTAAGACATATCCTACCCATGTACAAAATTTTCAATTGACTTCAAAAAGGAGGACCTCAATTCAGTTGTATTTTTTATGTTTGTTACCTCATAACTCTGTCAGTTCTAGCGTGAAATTATTGGGTACAGAGGAATAACACCTGAGTCCTCAGGAATGGCAACGCATGGGGGGTATCAGGGGCGAAACAGTATACTCTGCTATGTCCATGGTACTGCACATGTCTATAGGCGACGGGTACTACTTTCCATCAGGTGGACGGTCAGCTTGTTTGCCATTCTAAGTTGCATAAAAAAAAAACTAATTCAGATTTTATTTTTATAATAATAATAATTTATTTGCTCGAAATTTTGTACAATTGGTCTTAAATGATAACTGAGCTACACATTTCGCCTTATTATTATTTATCTAAAGATATGAAAATTTTGTCTCAGCACATGTTAGTTCGTTTTTAGTGAATTACATTTTATCTGATACGATGATACATTTTTATCTGAACGGATATAGATACAGATTGGCCCTGTAGAAGTTTTATCAAAATCGGTTCAATAGTTTAATTCATAGATTAAAATAACTAGTTTTGTCACAATTGAAGTAGGTTGTTATTTTGTGAGATAAAATCTTTAATTATATTCAAATCCATTCAGCCATTTAAAGGTAATTGAATGAATATAAACACCCAAACATTTTTATAAAATTTCCCTTTATAATATTTATTTATATTTCCCAAAATTTTCATCTATAATATTACTAGGGTCACAGTTAGGACTTGATATATATAATTTAAATTCCGCTCTAAATACCTGTTTGCTTCATTCTTGCCGTGTAGCACAGTATATAATAAATCTTCAGGTAGAGTATCTGGATCCTCGGCTTTCAGTATGTCCGAAGTGATCGCTTTACGTGTACCCTGTGATAAAGGACAATTGTTATTTCAATAGTAATTAATGTGCTTCGTATTAGGAACATACAATGTCTCTTTATAATTTCTAATTGCCTGGTACTCGGCATCTAAAGTTTCACGAATCAGTTGTTATTAATGGAATATAAAAAAAAATATTTTGTCAAATGATGGCAAAATATAGCGTTCTATAAATGGAAAGTATTAGAATATCTTTTAATACCTACGTTTAGATAAATAAATTATTGATTAATTAATCGATTGATTTGTAAGTCATTCTGTGAATAATCCCTCAGAGTGACATACAACGACGGCTGTACTAGTGTAATGTAGTCTCGCTATTTATATTATTTTTCTAAATGGAATGGAATTTTTGTTATTCTTTTTAAAGAAATGTGTACAAATTTTGGAAAATTCTTAAATTTTTACATCATAATAGGCATAAGTATTCTACAAAAACAAACAGCGACTATTATTAAACTACTTAAGGTGATTGGTCACTATACAAAATTAGGCAAAAAATACTAGATGATACTGGAACCGTGAGTTATAATTTTGTTGATTATTTTGTAATTAAATATACAGTAGAATCTCGATTATCCGAATCAAATAAAACCAGGTGTATTCCATATAATGGAAAATCCGGATAATCGTTTTCAAAAGCAAATCAAACAATAATTAAATTTTAATAATGTATTTTTTTTTTTTTATTATTATGTAAAGGGTCTTACATACATCATTTAGACAATATGATATAAAAAAAATTACAAGCTATAAAGATGATGGATTACATAATACCTATTCACCCAATTAATACATAATATCATGTCTAAACCGTATTATGTGTTAATCAGAGCTGTGAAAAATAAGTCCGGATAATCGAATATTCGGATAATCGATGTTGGGAAATCGAGATTGTACTGTAATTTAAGATAAAAATTCTTAATTGTTGAATGGTTTAAATTATTATATATAAATGTAAAATGATAGATAATACGCGATCTTTTCTTGAATAATCGAATATTTTTTGATAGTTTGTTATTTTTTTTTTTTACAAAGCTGTACAATAGAAAGAGAATAAAGACACAAATCATGACACATGATTACTATATCAGTAAAAAATAAATAAAACCATTCAATCAGATTTATAAAATTTACTTCCTATTATCTTTAATTACAAAATAATCAACAAAACCCACAAGTCATGATTTAAATGTCATCTAGTATTTTTTTTTATACCACAAAGGTGTCAAAGAAGCATACAGCCCATTCGATGGTAAACGGCTACAGCCTATAGACACCTGCAATACTAGAGATGTCACGTACACGTTGGCAACCCTGATGTGTCTAATTTAATTTAGTGACCAACTACCTTAATTATAATTAAGGTGATTGGTCACTAAATAAAATAAAATCAAATTTATAACTCAAAACTATTAAACAACAAACATGTTTAGTCTTGGTAGTTAATTCAGGCAAACTATTTAGTATACTCACGTAATTGTGTTAGACTGGTGTACTTTAAGTTCGGCACGTGGCAAATAAAACATGCAATTACTTTAAGCAAATTAAACAAAACATACGAAGCGCTGGGCACACTCTGAAAAAAATAATAAATGGTTAAAAAAAAATTTACGCCCTAAAAGGCAATTTTTCTGATTATTATTTCTAAATTCTAAGGCTCTTATTCATAAAAACATCAAACGTCTCATAAACTTATTTTTAGCTAATGAACTTTTTGTCCCTTTCTTTTATACTAGAATTTCAATTTGAAGAAAAGTGACAAAACTGTCAATCACTAGAAATACTGGTTTTCAGTAGATTTTGGTTTTTATGAATAAGGGGATAAATACACATGCGTTTATATGAACATTCATATTTTAGTCATGCATTATTGAACTAAAGAATTATCTATTTAAATACATAGATTAATGTACTGTATATTAAACCGTTTAGAAGTAAACATCAGTGAGCAAACATTTTTGAATAAAAAAAAATTTTAAAAACTTAAACAACATCTAGAAACTATAAGCTAAACTTTGAAAAAGGAACACTGCGCTACAAAATTTATAATGCATAAATGCCATAAGAATTAGGTAGGAACGACACTCAAATACTGTCCATTGTTAATGGGACTACCAGTATACATTATATAAAATTTGGAAAGTTATTTAGATACAATAGTAATATTATTGGTCAATTTACACTGACACCACATTATTTCTAAATTTTTTTTTGATGGGTGAAAATGATATGGTAACCCCGCCTGCGCTAACGGAATACGCTGGCGGAGCACCAGTGAAGGGTGATCGATGAGAATGAAAACAGGCCAGTTAGACCATCATGATGAATTCATCAGGAATTAACCATGATAGTTTCCAGGGAGAACCGCGAGGAGGTCGACCTGGTTGGGTATAATGCTAGCAATAGGATTCTCAGTCTCATTATTTCTACACTGTACCGACGGAACGAACCGCTAGTATTACACAGCACAGTATAGGCCATCCCTTTCTCTCCAGTCGGTGTCGTAAAACGCGACTAAGGGAATGATCGAGGGATAGGCAGCAGGGAACCTCTTAAAACATCACCAAAACCTAACTGTATCTGCGAAACGTGGCAACTACTGTCAAATCCCTTCCCTTATGAAAGAGGCCTATGTTCAGCTGTGAACAGCTAAGTACAACTTATACTATGAATAGAATACAATAGAATACAATAAATATTTATTGTGAGCTGTACATTACAAACTTTACGTAAGATGTTATTAACGTCTTAAAGGACAGCCTACTCATACATCGGGCATACAATACGAATAATTACATAACAATGTAATTAATCGTATTGTATTGTATGAATACTATGCAACTGATGGAAGTACTTAAATACTTTTTTTAATACCTACACATTGTACATAGAGAACATCCAGAACAATACAAACAGACATTCACATGATTATAAATGTTTGTATTGTGCGGGAATCGAAACCGCGACCGTCGGATGGGCACATTTGTATAAAACTGCTACACCACTATGATAGTATTATCAATATTAAATTAAGTGTCGCTTCTACCTAAATATAATATTTATACTCATGTAAGTACTAAACGCGAAATGTAACTAGAGACACCTGTGTGAGCCTAAGCACTTTTCCGGGCAGTAAATTCAGTACAGGCGGGTCATTGACCGGCGTGACGTTGACGTGGAGCACGAACGTGTTCCGGCCCTGCAGGTAGCTGGGCAACGTGAACTTGGTCTCTGGAATCAGTTCCATGTCCAGGACTATTGCGTCTTGGTGGTTCTCTGAGCCGTCGTGCACGTACCGCACCTGGTGTTAAAAAATTTAGTCTCATTAAAAAGAGCTATTTGGCCTAAACGTTACATATATATATATCAAAATGAGATTATGTTAATATTTTAAGAAATATCAACATAATCAAACTGCGATTATAAACCCAATAACAAAGGCAATCTATGTGAGAGGCTAATATCCATATCAACTATAACAGTTGATATTTTTTTTTTTTACAACACAGGGGGCAAACGAGCATGCGGCTCACCTGATGGTAAGTGACTACCGCCGCCCATGATCACCCACAACACCAGCGGCATTGCAGGTGTGCTGCCGGCCTTTTAAAAAGGAATATACTCTTTTCTTGAAGGTTATGTTGTCGTATCGGTTCGGAAATACTGCTGCTGGAAGTTGATTCCAAAGAATGGTTGTGCGTGGAAGAAAGTGCCTTGAAAAACGCACGGTGGAAGACCGCCACTCGTCCAGATGATTGGGATGAAACTTTAGTTTGTGGCGGGTTGTACGGTGGTGAAAATCAGCAGCAGGTATCAATCCGAACAATTCCTCAGAACACTCCCCATGATAAATTCGGTAGAAGATGCACAGAGACGCAACATCTCTGCGCAGTTTCAATGGGTCAAGTCGGACAGTAAGGCGTTGACTATCGATAATTCGAGCCGCCCGACTTTGAATGCGGTCTAACGGAAGGAGTTGGTACTGTGGCGCTCCTGCCCACAGGTGAGAACGGTATTCCATATGCGGCCTGACTTGGGCTTTATATAATTTCAGGCGGTGTTCTGGCATGAAATATCGTCTCACCCTATTGAGCACTCCTAACTTTTTGGAAGCTATCTTAGCCTTCTCCTCCAGATGACCGCAAAACTGGACGTCGCAAGATATATCAACGCCCAGAATTCCTAGACTTGACTTTTTATCAAGGGAAGTGCCCTGAAAGTGAGGAGATACGACAAACGGCGTCTTTTTGCGGTAAACGCGCAGACTTGTGTCTTTTTGGGGTTAAATTGGACAAGATTTTGTTCACCCCAGATCGAAACTTGATGGAGTGAAGTTTCGATTTCAGACACAAGTCTATTCCGGCACTCATCGGTATGTGCCCGCGAGATCTTTGCATGACCGGTATATAATGTATCTCCTGTACTGTCGTCCGCATAGCAATGAATATTACTTATCTGTAACATATCATTGATATGCAGAAGAAACAGAGTCGGAGATAGTACACAGCCTTGCGGGACACCAGCATTCAAAGGTTTTAAATCAGAGCATGCACCGTCGACTACGACCTTAATGCTACGTTCCTTGAGAAAACTGGCGACCCAAATGCACAGTCTCGCAGGCAACCCAAATGAAGGTAGCTTTGAAAGCAGCGCTCTATGCCACACCCGATCAAAGGCCTTCGCAATATCCAGACTAACTGTTAAGGCCTCTCCCTTACTCTCGATTGCCACTGCCCATCGGTGTGTTAAGTAAGCTAAAAGATCACCGGCCGAACGTCCCTGTCGAAAGCCGTACTGGCGATCACAGATCAGCTGGTGCTCTTCTAGGTACCGGAGCAGTTGACGGTTAATGATGGATTCCATAACCTTCGAGAATAAGGAAGTGATAGCTATGGGCCTATAGTTAGCTGGATCTGAGCGATCTCCCTTTTTAGGGATCGGATGCACCAGAGCAGTCTTCCAAAACTTTGGGACTATGCCCGATGAGTAGCTAAGCCGAAAAAGACGCGTAAGAACCGGAGCCAACTCTGGTGCGCACGTCCTAAGCACAATTGGAGGAATACCATCAGGCCCACTCGACTTATGGATTTCGAGGGAGAAAAGTGCTCTACGCACTGAGCTATGCGTGAATTTAATGTCAGGCATAGAGCTCCTACAACACGTGATGGTCGGTGGTGGTTTCTCCCCGTCATCCAATGTCGAGTTTGACGCAAAGATGGATCCAAGAAGATCGGCCTTTTCTTTAGCGTTCTGGGCCAACGAGTCATCCTCCCTGCGCAAAGGTGGAAAAGATGACTTACAGAAATTCCCTTGTGCAGCTTTGGCAAGAGACCAGAAAGCTCGAGTCCCAGAGGGCAAACTAGCCAATCTCTTGCCAATTCTACTAATATGCTCTGACTTCGCTGTGGCTATAACTCTTTTGAAAGACCTAGAAGCAGAGTTATACTTCTTTTTAAGAGCACTGGTGTTAGGATCTCGCGACGCCACACCTTTAGCCCAGGTTAGGAAGCACTCCTGTTTCAGACGAGATGCTGTTCTACAGGAGGCTCCATACCAGGGCTGGGATTTCCCGCCGACGGGCACCACAGAGTTAGGAATAAATAATTCCATTCCCTGAAGCACCACATCAGCAATGGAATCGGCAATGGCGTCGGGATCATCCAGTGTGAAGCAAACCTGCCTCCATGGGTAAGATGCGAAAAAAATCCGCATCTCATCCCAATCTGCCGACCTGTAGTGCCAAATGCGACGTCTACCCGTAGAACGAGGTGGAGTCGGACTCGTAAGAGGCACTTCGCTCCGCACCAAACAGTGATCCGACGATCCAAGCGGGGCTTCGACGGAGATCACATAGTTGTCTGGGTGGGTGGTCAGCAGAAGGTCCAGCAGTGAAGGTGAATGGTCCAACACATCAGGGATTCGCGTAGGCGAGGAAACAAGCTGTGTCAGACCATAAGCCAAAGCAAAGTCATGAACAGATCTTCCCGCATAGTCGGTTGTACGCGAACCAAGCCATTCGGCATGGTGGGCATTAAAGTCGCCAACAATCACGACTTCAGCGGAAGGAATCTGCTCAAGCAGGGAATCTGTAGCCATTTGGACGTGCTCAATTAGTTGGTCGGTTTCAGTGTTACCGCTGTGGGACCTGTATAAGCACGCATAGATGCGGGGATGGTCATTGCAATCTACGCGCAGCCATAGAATGGACAGGTCCGTACCTTCAAGAGTCCCAAGGCGTCGACAGCAGATATCCTCTCTGACATACGCACATACACCGGCACGCGAAACAAAACAATGTTCAAGCTTATACCCCGGGTAGGTCAGGTATGATGTTTCGTTAGGAGGGGATATCTGTGTCTCCGTGAGGAAGAGCAATGCCGGCCGCGCCGTTTCTAGGTGGTGGTGGACAGCGTTCAGGTTTGAATGAATTCCCCTAATATTACAGAGGCTCACATTGAGCAAAGGGGATGCCGCAGAAGTCTTGCTCTGTTTGCCCTTGGTCCCATAGAGCGGAATTTTGCCCCCCCCAGAATACGCAGGGCAGCCCGAGCGTGGTTGCTCGAGGGAGGATTCTCCAGCAACATGGCTGCTGATACCTCCCTGGGGTACGTTATTTTTTTTAAATTCCACTGCCATGGTATTGAAAGATGGGGGGACGGAGTTGGGGGAGGAATTTAGGATAAGGAAGGGGATGGGTATAGGATGGGCCTCCGGACTCCCTCACTCACCATACGGAATGTGGTCGCACTAAAAGTGCAGCCACTTAGCGTCGGTATTCTGTGAGGGTGTGGTACTTCCCCGGTCGAGCCGGCCCATTCATGCTGCAATACCATATGGTATTACAGCGTGGCTCTACCACCTAAATAATAATATGACGATACCTAACGTCCCTATTGTACTAATATTGCAAAATTATAATACATTTATGAATAAAGATTCTTATAATCACGTTATATCCTTGTATATGCCCATAGAGGGCTTATAAAGTATTATTTTTAATAATTTCATTATTTTTATGAATACAAAGTGTTTAAGTATCCCGAGGTGTAATAACGTTAATATAATCCTCTAATAATGTTTTCAATTTCCATTAAATGATTTTAATAATTTCTGATTGATCCACTAAATATATTTCATCATTACTGCTTCAGAATTTTTAAATCTTTTTCATCATAACCAGGGCCATAGCTAGACCCAAGTTTAAGGTAGGGCAAAAGAACTTTTTGGTAGGGCAGAAGCCATAATTAAGTGACTTTTAAAAAACGAATCTGACTCTTAAACAAAGTGAGTTTTTAATTAAATTTTTGGAGTTTTATTATAGTAGAACTGAAATGTATGGCAACAATTCTCTTTTTAAAATTAAAACAAGTTTTTAAATAGAATCAGAGTATTCATAGACATAGGGGATGAACGAGTACCTTATCTCTTGACAAGTCCATGAGCGTAAAGAACTGCTTCATCTTCCCATCACTTTCGATGTAGTTCGTGTACTGCGGAGAATTCCTCTGTAGCGACAGATCGACGACGATCCTTCCATGCTGCGGCGACTGCGCCACGTGGAGTAACACTCCGGACGGACGTACACCGTACTTGTGGTGATCTAACACCACGTCTATATTCTGCGTGGTGATGACAGCCACGCCTCCTTCCTGGACCGTCAGCGGGTATAGAGCGACCAGTTCCAGTTTGCTGCTCGACTTTGAATATACCTGTTGGTAACATATATAATTAGAAACTGCTAATGCGAGAGGAAAATTTGGTAGAGAGATGCAACACTTTAGTTTTCAGGAAATGCAATACAACACAAGACATGAGTGTCACAGGGTATTATTATCTATTTAATTTATTCTTTATTGTACTGACAATAAGACAAAAACATAAAGCCAATTATTTTATTCTGTGATATATGAGGCAAACAAAAGACGTCTGCTTAAGTACATTTGCAGCTCATATTTTCTACAGTCAAATAACTAAGCTTGTATGACAGAATTCCGGTTGGAAGCGATGTGGCAGTGAAATTACACTTATTTTATGTATTAAGGTTTCTTCAAGGTCAGCAATGTGCATGTGATACCACTAGTTTTGCAGGCATCCATAGGCCATAATTATCGTTTACCATCAGATTATATGCTTGTTTGCCACCGTCTCAGTATAAAAAAAAAACTTACTTTATATTTCTCAGCGTAGTCAGGGTTGATGCACAAATCCGAATCACATTTGCAGGTGAAGTGATCAACTCCGTGCTGCTCGCAGACAGCTTGCGACACGCACGGCGGGTTGGAGGGACTGGAGTGGCAAGGGTACCACCACACACATTTGGGGCTCACGCCGTACGTCACCACAGCAGTGGGCAGGCCGAAGATTTTGTCGTCCACCTCTATAGGTTTTATGCAGCCCTGGTAGGAAATAATTTAAAACTTAAAAAATGCATACTTTAATTTTAAAATACACTTGTAACCATTTATAGTGATATAAAGTATTACAATGAAACATTATTTAAATAAAAAACAAAGGACTTAGAGGTTTTAATTTTAGCTATTATGGGGAACGTAACACTCGACTATTTCGCCTAGAACATTTCAATCCAACATAATCGAAAGCGAGGCTTCCGCCATCACATAGATTAACTACATTTGATAACTGTGATGTTCGATATCGTTAAAAGTAACAAACAAACTCACTCACACATTTATAGTTTTAATAAGAATAATAATACAACCCATTTAAAATTAAAGACAATAATTAGTTACTTTTCATACAAGTAGTTTGACCAAGGTTATATCTAGTCTTCATTTAGTTCATTAACCGAATCATGTGGTACAATAGTTAATCTTGTGGAGTATAAAATATATCAGGTTTGGGTATTCTAAATTATCTGGATGTTCATTGACCACGCTCCGGTACCCTCTGGTCCAGATACTTAAAGTTACTCTTTACAACCGTTTCAACATTTCATAAAACATATTTAGTCGAAAGTTTAAAAATGTCAAATTCAAAAACATTCGTGTACATACCATGATACTAGAATCGGCAGCTTTAACGCCCTTAGTGAACGCCCTCTGCCTCTTCTCACTTTCAATCCCACCGAGGTAGAAGGAATCGGAGAGATCGAGGTGTCTCGTACCACCGCTCTCGATGCGTGTACTCATGGCCACATTGTCCACGGACAACTAGAACAAAAATATTTTAATTAATAATTATTCAATAATCATACAATGCAACAGGAAAATGAAAGCAGTGTGGTCCCGGCATGGAATGAGCCACCGCTGCCTTTCTCGTGGGTGTCGTAAGAGGCGGCTAAGGGAACTTAATAGTTGAGAAAAGAGTAGTAACGTATTTCTTAAAACATCACTAAAGCTCAAATGCGGTTGTCAACCCGTCTACCAAGCGTGGCAACTACTGCAAAACCCCCCAATAAACAGTGGCCTATGTTCAGCAGTGGACAGTTGACGGCTGATATGATAATAATTAATTTATATATAACTTACAAGTGCAATAAAGAATATATATATATATATATATATATAAAAAAAGAATAGAAAAATAGTATCCATTAAAGTAGCAAGTAAAATTTAGACTCTGACTCGCTTACTCATAATTAATCTTACACGCCTAATAAATCTATTCAATCTATTTCAACTCAAAGTGACAAATTACTAGTTAAAATAGATTTGTATGAGGTTATAGTTTTTTTTTTTTTTTTATGAATAATGATATAAGATTTTTACTAATATAATAGATCGTAGATACAAGTGGCTTAGAGCGATTGTTTATGACAATTTTGAGAGTGGACACAATTTTAACTCATCATTTTAGATCATAGTCCAGTAGTGGACTTTGAATAGCCAAAATGCTGTTAATGATTATTATTAAATAAGAAAATATTTATTAAACAAAATCGTCATATTTAATCTGTTACTTTGCTTCTAATAGCTTTCTTGGACAGCATTAAAATACACGAGTACTTTATACCCAATTTTGAACTGTATCTACTTGGTACAATAGACATGTATGTGCGTACACTACATTGCCATCTACCCATACATCTGTTAAATTACTCATATATTCCCCAGTCGCCATTCAGTAAATAAAATCTGTCGTTGTAATTGACACAGATTATAAATATTTATTACATTTAATTATCTGAAAGTTCATTGCCTTCTTTCAATTTAAAATTACCATTTTAAATATTTCGCAATTTAATAAAAGACTAGTAGAATGGTTACAAACAATTAATTTCATATAAATTATTACATTTAACGCGCCAGCAAGCAGTATAATAATATAAAAAATATTAAATTTACTTATGAAATTAAATAAAAAATAATATGCCCTTAGGCATATTACGCAGCGCCATCAAATTTTAAACTAAGCAGAGCTAGTAGTAAGGGCCGTCGACCTCCTCGTGTTTCCCCTTGGAAACCATCGTGATTGATTTATTGTTAGATTCGTTACGGTGGGCTAACTGACCTGCTTCATCCTCACCTATCAGTCCTCACTTGTGCCCCGCCAATATATACCGATAGCGCAGGCGGGGTTACCATTCCATTGTCATCTGTTAAAAAAAAGTAATATGGGACCTAAACAATTGATAGAAATATATTGTATTACACGTAGAAAACACCTAGACCAGAGGAAAAGGGATTGTTAGTAATCGAGACTGAGAATCCTATTGCTAGCAATATACCCAAACAGGTCGACCTCCTCGCGGTTCTCCCTGGAAACTATCGTGGTTAATTCCTAATGAATTCATCATGATGGGCTAACTGGCCTGTTTTCATTCTCATCGATCACCCTTCACTGGTGCTCCGCCAGCGTATCCCGTTAGAGCAGGCCTATTCTACCATTTTCACCCATCAAAAAAAAAACACCTAGACTAATACATAGGACACATTAGGGAGAAAGAATATTTAGTAATGGGTACTATCAACTCCATTGCTAGTCATATACCCTGTTAGGTCGACATTAGGTCGACATCCACTCAGTACTCCTTGGTAACCCTCGTAGTTAATTCTTGTCAAAATTTTCACGATGGACCAACTGATCTGCTTTCATCCTCACCCATGTTTCACTAATGGCCTACCAGGAGTACTAATAGCGCAGCGCTGTTACCATTCCTTTGCCATTAAATAAAAAAAGCAGACGCATAAATACATTCATGTTTGTATTGTGCGGGAATCGAAGCTGCGATTATTGTATACAAGACAGTGTAAGTCGCTACATCACTAAAGTCGTCTATTAATATAATAATTACTGTCTTAGCCAAACTATATAAAAAGAAAAAAAAAAAAACAATATTACATGAACATAATGCATCATTTGCTTAGCACATTATTAATAAAACTTTTCGTTAAATAAAATTACACAGCAGTACTAGTGACGTCACAGTATAATCGATTATATAAATTGTGCAGTCTATATGTCTCTGGTCGTGAGAAGAACATCCTGTTTAAAGATGCCGGCCATCACTGCCCATCAGGTGGGCCTTGGACTTGTTTGCCATTTCATTTTAAGTAATATAATAAAAAAAAAGTATATCTCTGTGTTCAATTCTATTCAAAACAATTCAGCCATTTAAATGTAACCAAATAACACAGATGCAAACTTTTACATTAATAATATTAGCAAATTAGCAAAAATATATCTTTATGTTGCACACTTGCATTATATTTATACAAAAAATAATAAAAAAAAAAATGTAATTCGCAACACTGCTATGGATGTGTATAGCATTTGCTTAGCACATTACAATACAATTTTATCTATTCATATATATATATATATATATATATATATATATATATATATATATATATATATATATATATATATATATATATATATATATATATATATATATATATATATTATAATTAGGTTATATTATTTTGCTCTTATTAGTAAACAAGCTGGCACAACAATATTAGGAGCGACACAGCATAATAGATAGATAGATACTCTTTATTGTTTCCTCTAAAAGATTACAATAGTAAACTTATTATAAATATAAACAATTACAAGAAATAATCACAATGAGAAAACAATGGGTGATCAAATAATCATCATCATCATCATATCAACCGTTAACTGTCCACTGCTGAACATAGGCATCCCCTATTGAGTTTTGCCAGTAGTTGCCACGCTTGGCAGGCGGGTTGGCAACCGCAGTGAATCTTTGGTAACTAAGAATTACGCCGCTGCCTGTCCCTCGACCATTAAGTCCCCTTAGTCACCTCTTACGACACCCAAAATAATAGATTACATAAATTGTGTTGTTTATATCCATAGGGAGACTTTGTACAAAAGTCGACTGCTTGGGTATCTCTGTCCCATTCGTGTTTCTACCGTGAAGCAGCTGTGTTTGCATGGCTGTGTTTCGGTTTGAAGGGTGGGATATGGCGTGAATTTACAGGGTACAGAGGAATAACACCTGAATCCTCAGGAATGGCAATGCATGGGGGGTATCATGGGCGAAACAGTATACTCTGTTATGTCCATGGTACTGCTTATGTCTATAGGCGACGGTTACCACTTTCCATCAGGTGGACCATCAGCTTGTTTGCCATTCTAAGTTGTATATAAAAAAAGATAAGTGATAACACATCACCCGTTACTCTATAGACTTGTTTGCATATCATCATTATCATCACCTCAGCCATTATCTGTCCATTACTGAACATAGGCCTCCCCATAGACTGCCATAAGGAACAGTCCTGAGCAACTTGCATCCACTGACTCCCTGAATCACCATTAGGAGGATTATATTACTAGTCTATTATTAATTAGTATAGTTAATCCCCCAGAATAGTCTGCGGTCAATGCATAAGGAGTAACGTGTTTACAGGCGACGGTCACCACTTTCCATCAGGTGGACCGCCGACTTGTTTGCCATTACATTACATTAGACAATATAACCGTCTAATACAACTAATCTATAATATAAAATAATATAAAACAAATATAACTAATCTCATTCAATTTGGTGTAGTAGTTTTTGCGTGACACCAGAATTAACAGACGTGACAAAAATTTTAAAAATATATTGTTTCGCTTTCTATTGCATATTATATGTTGCATATGTTTTTCTTTGCTAATAAATACTTTCGCTTTAAGTAATACACAGCAAATATTATTAAACTAATTAAAGCTTTCAGCGCATCATTTTATAAAATACATTCGCTATAATATTATACATGTTCGCAAATAAAAAAAAATATAATACGATATAATATAAAAAAAAATATTCATATTAATTTTATTTTAAGAAATTATTAAGAAATATTTTATTTATTTAAGAAAGATACAGTTGCATATAAGGTACAATTTACAATTTTTACAATTTATATTCAACGAGGAAATATCTGCATTACCATCAGTCCCCAAACTAAGCCAGACCTGTATCTTGGGGACTATGACTATTTTATATGTTTAGTAGGTATATGTTATGTATGCTTGTTTGACACCACCGTAACATAAAAAATATATATTCGCTATCGCATTACACACAAGCAGTTATAAAACAAAAAGGTTTATAACCAATTTAGCAAAATGACATAAAATATCGCGGTGCCAATAAACTAAATGTGTAACACTTACAAATAAATAACATAAAACGCATGCCTACGCTTCCAAATTCCACATTCTTCCAAATTCAAAGTCGCAAATGGCAAAAGTCAAATTTTATTATACTATTCACTAGATACTACTAAATAAATAAGAAAATTATTAACAAACCTCAATCAAAGAAGGATTGAAGGACAAATGTAACTTGTGCCATTGTCCATCGTTAATCCTGACTGTGTGGATAATTTGTCCCCGAGCCATTTTCACGCAGATCACTCCCTCCAGGATCTCCACAGCAAGAAAGTCAGATCCTCGTACACCGCCAGGATTGTATAGTATAATCGCGTTTTGGGTTATCGTCTTGAATTCTATGTGCCATCTGTATCACAAAAAAATGTTTTTTACACATATTTTTATTGTACAAGAAGTAATCACGCAACGCCAGACACAGTCGTGAACTGCGAATCTGGATAAGGGTGTCTACTATGAAATGTTTTTCAATAATTTGAGGTCGAACGAAACATAAATTTGATGTTAAAATTACATAATTCTTACCTATTAAAAATATTAAAACATCGAACGATGTTTGGACTTTTATGGTAGAAGTTATGACAAACGAAACGGCCTACGGCCACTTTCTATAATCGTACGCCATCGACAGGGAATTCACCCTCATACCCTACAACCTACAACGCGGTTACAAAGATGTTTTCTTCCACGAACACTCAGGTTATGGAATGAGCTCCCTGCCGAGCTTCTCCCTAGAGACTACAGCATGGGATTCTTCAAAAAGGGGGTAAAGAGGTTTCTTCAGGGTCGGCAACGCGCGCGTAATACCTCTGATATTACAGGCGTTCATAGGCTACGGTAACCGCTTACCATCAGGTGGGCTGTATGCTTGTTTGCCACCTCAGTGGTATAATAAAAAAAAACGAAATGTTACCCCATTTTCTCCACATTTACAAAAATTTCATTAAAATCGGTTAAGCAATTATGAAGACTATTATAAACGCATATCAACACACACGAGATTATTATATATTAGATTTATCTGTTTAAAATATATTTGCATACGTACAAAGAGCTTACAACCACCGTCTCACAATACCCACCCGTGTGCAATTCAGAATTAGTCATACGAATTAGTCATTGAAACAATACAGTTAGTTACTGCTCTAATTATTTTCTCAGAAAGCAATTTCAATTGTCTTTAGAAGATATTTGTCTACTCAAGTCTTTAATTTCGGTATATTTTTACGTTTTTTGTTTTTATACTACTTAGAATGGCAAACAAGATGAAAAGTTAAATAGATAGAAAGTGGTAACCGTCGCCTATAGACATGAGCAGTACCATGGACATAACAGAGTATATTGTTTCGCCCATGATATCCATCCCATCGCGCATGGGGGGCCATGCGTTGCCATTCCTGAGGACTCAGGTGTTATTCCTGTGTACCCAGTAAATTCATGCCATATCCCACCATTCAAACCGAAACACAGCCATGCAAACACAGCTGCTTCACGGAAACACTAATAGGACAGAGGTACCCAAGCAATCGACTTTTGTACAAAGTCTCCTCTTGTTTAAATTTAAATGCGTCTTGCATCTAGCACATGAGTATTACTAAAAACTAAATTGCAGTTCCATACAAACGAATAGTAAACACTCACCTTCCACCTGCTTTTGAATTTATTTTAGGTAAAATTAAATAAGCTCCTTCATCAACGAAGCTTATGTCGGCATTTATGTCAGCGTCGAATTCAGGTGCACAGTTCCAAGTGACTCCCTCCACGCGTACTGAACCGCTACGACTTCGAGCCTTCTCTATTATCTTCACTCCATTATAGTACACCTATTAACACGTACATAATTAATATTGTAAATACATTTAATAACTAGCCGCCATTTAAAAAGTGGCCATTAAGGCTGCACACACGACGGAATCTTAAAAATGGAGTAACTTCTCCTGTTTTCCCAACATTACCCTTCACTGCTATGCTCCTATTGATCGTAGCGTGATAAAAAGTATATTATAACCTGCCCAGGAGTATGGGGAATAATTGTACCAAGTTTCGTTAAAATCCGTCGAGTAGTTTTTGTTTCTATAACGAACATACAGACAGACAGACAGACAAAAATTTTACTGATTGCATTTTTAGCATCAGTGTCGATCACTAATCACCCCCTGATAGTTATTTTACCGTAGTAACTTACCTCTCTACAGATTTATTATAAGTATAGAATATAAATGTGACAGTGAGTCTGTTAACTTTTGGCGCCTTAGATTAGATTTGAAAAGGTGGCGACAAAAATGCTTTTCATTAACTAAAATAAAAAATATTCTTACATATGCTACACTTATAAACCTATAATATATAATATAGGATAATGTAGACAAATAACAATGAACAATGTCTGTATTTCTTTATCTGTCTATCTCTATGTATGTTTGTTCAGGCAATAAATTGAATGCACTTTTCACAGTTATACTCCTCAAGGTCTAATTTAAAATCTTTAGTTTTTCTACTTGTAAAACCCAAACGTACAAAGTAGCGGGTAGCAAAAAACTAGTTATGTATAATTATTAAATGTAAAGACAACCAAAAATCTATTTTTTTTTTTTATATATATGGTGTATAATATACCTAAATTAATATAAGAATTGCTTACAAGTTTTCTTTTCCTAATTTCGTTACTTATCCTTGCATTTAAACAGTTTTAATAATTGAATACGAAACATTATTTTATTAATTTATACTCACATCTTCCATGCAACCACGAAAATTCTCCAAATGCCCCAGGAATAGTTCAGAGAAGTCACCCAGGCCACCCAGGTATATTCCAAAATGTATGTTCAATTCAAAAAATTTTCCTGGCAATTTCTTCTTGACTACACTGTCATCCACCTGTAATTTACTAGATGCTAGAACATTCTGTGACTAATTTTTTTTTTTATATGTACACTATTTTTGAACTTGATTAAAGTAAGGAAAAGTACAAATGTAGAATAAAAGGTGGAATAATAAAATAGAAGATAATAGATGTAAAACTATGGACCAGAACTGCTTTGAACAGAGAAGCATGGAAGAAAATTGGAGAAGGCTTATACTACTCATCACCCATCCCCTCAAGGTCAGTATCTTTAAAAGGACAGATCGTATAAAACTAAGATAGGATAAGGCTGGCCCTGATGATACCGAAGGTATAGAGAATTGATTAATAAGCACAATAAATGATACATAAAATAATATGAGAATTGTTACTGTAAGAATGTTGAATTTTATATTGTGAAATCCTTTACTAATATTATAAATGCGAAAGTGAATTTTTGTTACCACTTAATGCTTTAATGAATGAACTAATTAAGTACACACATACTATATACTATATGGTATAGAGAGAGACAAAGGCTACTTTTTAAGTCAATGAAAATATCCTAAGGCCCTACACATGACGTTTTCTGAAATTTTGAGGCTGAACGAAAAACAAATTTAATGTTACAATTACATAATGCATAATACCCTTTAAAAATATTAAAAATGTTAAAATACCGTTTCTTTGGACTTCCATAGTAGAAATTGTGAGTAATAAAATTTTAAACTCCTTTTACTGGGCCAATTTCAATATAAAATAGAATCCGAAAATTTAAAATTTCAGTATATGGTCATATGAACGAAATCTTGAATAAAAATCTAGTATCTGATGTTTTTCTTTTTAAACCTTTTAAACAACATATATGAGTATTGATATTACCTTCATAGTGAGATTTGCTTCCCTCCGCACTATACTGATGTGATGCCACTGTGTATCATTGAGGTGTATGCCTTTAGGAGATGATAGTTCGCTTTCCCCAGCACCGAGGTTTATGTGCAGTTTTAATCTACCACTTTCTAAACGAATCTGTAAGAAATTTACACTAATGTGTAATCTAGCAACTCTTATTATATAAAATAATTAGTAAGCTATTTTAAAACTAATATTTATAAAATAGAATGGCTGTAAACACAATCCACACCATATTTAAATGTTTTCTCTTTGCTCTTGACTGGTCGACTGCACAGTGTATAAAACAGAAAAATTCATATGTCACCAATAATAAAAAGAAAATAATGATATTAACAAAAGGGTCTACAATGCAAGATTAAGATCTCTAAATTTAAAAATCGTAAACCTTATCCCTATTATTTGGGGTCATGTAATATGTTTTTATTAATATTAAATAAGATTTTGTTTTACTTTTGGTTTTAGAACTGTCTACCTCCCTGATATATTAATATCATAGGTACTTTAACAGTATATCAAATCCTTATTCTACAAGTTTACATCAGTGATACCTCCACATAGTAAGTGTTGAAATGTGGTGGACACTTTTAATCAGGCAGATTCACTTGATTTCCATTGTAGATAAATAAATCCTTAGTGCTATTATGGAGATGAGTCAGATTACTTATTACTTCATGGTATGTTAACTACTCAATCAAGTGTCATGAAATTAATATAAAGGCTCCCAACACTATACTGACAATATCCCAGACGTGGGAGAAAGGGATTGTTGGCTATGAAATGTGACAACTCCTTTGCTAGCAATATGCCCTATTAGGTCGACCTCCACATGGTTCCCTCTAAAAACCATCGTGAACAATTCTTGTTGAATTTGTCACAATGAGTTAACTGACCTGCTTCATCCTCATCTATCATCCTTCACTGGTGCCCCGCCGTGTATACCGATAGCGGGGGTGGGGTTGCCATTCCATTATCACTCATTACAAAAAAAATATTCCAGATGTCAATTTGCATAAGAAATGTTAATGTTAATGTGAAAAATTAAAATGGATCTCAAACTGCTTAAAAATGACAATATGATAGGATAAAATGATAAGAACTAGTACAGTAGAATCTGGATTATCAGAATCAAATAAAACCAACGGTATTCTATATAATTTGTTTTTGTATTTTATGCACGAAAAATTATTAATTCACTCTTGCGCTACCTGCCCATTTCTATCTGTTCACCTTTAACGAAAGGTTGTCTGTAAGAGATTGCCCTAGCGATAAGACCACCTTCTGTACCTTTATGTGTATATTTCAATCTGTATTTATGTTACTGTATTTCACTTGAATTATTCACTTGTCATTGTATATTTTTATTTATGGTGCAATAAAGAGTTAAATAAATAAATAATCAAAAATCCAGATTACCAATTTTTGAGTCAAATCAAACAATACATAATTGAATTTTAATATTTTTTACTATGTAAAGAGTTTTACATATATTACTTAGAATTTATTTATTAAAAAAAAATTATGAGCTATAAAGATAATGGGATTATATAATATCATTTCTAAATCGCTAATTAGAGCCATAAAGAATAAGTTCAAATAATCAAATATTTGGAAATTGACAATCAGACAATCGAGATTTTACTGTAATAGATACATTACATACCATACAGTAGTCAGTTTTGCCTGTAGTGAGCAATAATAGAGCATCAGACGAATGAGTGCGAAACCTAAAACTTATGTCTGTCACACCCTTTGCTTCTTGAAGTGGGTATGATATGAAGCTGGCTCCATAGAATGATGCTAAAATTGAGAACCATTCATAAAATAATTTAATGAAAATAACATAATAAAAGTATAAAAAGAAATTAAAAAGATAGTGTTAATAAATTATCCTTTTAATTTTTTTTTTTTATAATAACACAGTAGGCAATTATATTTATATCACAAATGATCACAATTCAGATATCACAGGGACGCTTTATAAAAAAAATATCCGTATAGCCACCTTGGTTCCACAGATATTTCTATCTCTGAATAGCTGTCCTTATATGACTATTTCAGTTCGAAGAGTAAAATAAGGCAGTAAAAATGTAATCTGCCATAAAAATGTAAAAAGTAAGATGTAATCCCTTAGGATTAGCTATACACCAAAAGAACCATAGACTTCACAGTGTATTCTCTGATGTCCACAGGGCTGCAGATTGATTATAAAAGGACTATAACCTGGTTGTCATTCCAAGTTTATAAAAATAGTGAAATTATTTAAAATTATTTATCATCTATAACTTAGACTTAGCATGATGATAGAAAACATTTATATACAAGTGCTAATTTTATTGAATGTAACATTTACTGTATATTAGTTAATATATGTTTAAGTAGATATTATTGTTGGCCATAGCATGAACAATTCTATGGATAATAACTGTTCTACAAGTTTAATAAAGATAAATATATCATACTAGAAGAATATATCTCTATTAATCAGACTCACCTTTGTCATAAGCCACAGCCATAGAAAGAAGTGATAAAATTAGAATAACTTCCATCTTCTATCAAAAAAGAAAAGTAAAACGAGAACACAAGATAAAATGTAAACGTGTTCAATTAATACATTATCAATCCCTTCTCATTTAATACTATGTATTGTAAAGTATTCTTTTCAATACAGTAATATAATTTTTTGAGGACATCTCCAAATCAACAAGGCAGGCGTGGCGTCACAAAGCCGTAGTAGACAGTGCTAGCGAACAATCATTATCTTATAAAGATTCACTGTTTAATCACTATCTTAGAATATATAATTACAAAAACTGGTTGCTTTTATTCAATAACTAGATAAAAATATTGTTTTAGTCACAAATAATTTACAGTTTACACACACATGACAAAACATAGTTAAACAACAGGACAGCGCCGCCTATATTTCCTTCTCTCTTCCGCTTCCTTGCTATAAGCTCATGGGTTCACGAATGAATACTTTGCCACAGATTATATAATCTAAAATCTGAACATCTTATGAACTTCATACACACATCAATAATCGTAATTATCAGAAATGATTTGTTAATTTTATAATTTAAAGACGAATGTAGTTTGAAAAGTGGTTTTGGATATTCTACTGTGTAAGGAGTTTTCAATACGGTGGTTTATCCTTAGTGTATATCACTATAAACAAGCTTGTATTGTATTGTCTAGTGAAATTTATTAAGAATTGTCAAATAGTAGTCGCTACAGTACCATCACCCAACCGAGCCTAATACTGGGAGTATTAGCATTCGGAAGTTCCCTGTGTGCCACAATAAAGCAACGGCTTCACATAGAATCCGATTCCGTTATATCACGTCAGATTTTCTAGATCTAGGCTAAGGTTTCCAGACGTCCCTGTTTGGAAGCAAAAGCTTGAGTGACCTTGACTGTACTTATGTCATCATCGATGTACAGAATTTTCGTCCTTCCTACGACTTAATTAGACGGGATACCCAAACCGACCCTGTAGGCAGGATCTCCACTAGCTTTGAAGATGTAGTAGGAGGAAAAAGAACCAAACGTAACTAGTTTATTTTTAATCTCGTCTTGTTCAAAATTGGTTCAAAACGGACACGCTGCAGCGTGTCTAGATACAATATCATTGTCATGACGTGTTGCAATCCACATTGAAACATCAACAACAAAAAAAAAGCAGGTGTGTAGGTACTATTTATCTGAAAATTTATTAATCGCGTTAAGTCTCGATAGTTTATGCGTATGCGTATGCGTTTATGGTGCTAAAACCCTTTCGGAAATCAGCTTGTTCAGGTAGCTGGAAGTCATCGAGTTTGCGCGTAAAACGATTGATTAGGATTCTAAAAAACAGTACTTAGACGCGGTTTAGAAAAGATGTCCGTCTTAAATTTAAGTTTATTTCTTCAATAAGGTATTGTTACCCTTTTTGAAGAACAAGATTACCGCATTTCTGCTCCGGGTTTCGGGCATAACAGCATTAAATATGACGAAATTAAATAGCCTCAGAAGGACTATAACTATCGGTTTTCCACCTGTTCTCAGAATCTCTGCTGTAATTCCGTCCACCCTCGGTGCTTTGCCGTTTTTAAGCTGCTTAAAAGCCATTTCAATTTCCTGCAAAATATATCATCGATATAGTATCTGGTAATTTTAGCTCTTCGGTCGTTATTTTCTGTATGGCCACTTTTGAAAGAAGTTTATCATAAAGGATCTCTCCATTTCCATAAAGACAACTAATTACTGTCCCCTAGGATTTCGTTGCTCCATTCTAAAGTTCCCCATTCTGCCTCATGAATACTATGTATTGAGATTTAGAGAAGTGTGTGGCTCTTGAAATATCCTCATACATTGCCTCCGCCTCATCATGTGTCATCAGGAGTATATTACGGTCAGCGCGTATATCTGTATCACTTTCGGCGAATACCTATAGGTAATTCTGATTACTAGGTTTACCATCCTTGCTGACATACTGTCAATCTTCAAAACATTATTTACGAGAGACTTACGGACGATAAACCCGATACCACTATAAGATAGGTGGTCATTCTCCCGGTGGTAGAATAAGTTACCGAATTCATGGATTATCGTATCCTTCCCTTATTTTCGGATTTTAGATAATCCTATAATATATTATAAGAAAAAAGAAGAGGGGAACAAGTATAACTTGTAACCGACAACATTCAACCAACAATTTTATTTTTCAAAAGTATTAATTAATGAAAAGTACATTAGGCCTTTAGAAATAGCGAACATATTATGACAGTTCGTTCCCCACCAGGCCCACTCCCGTCACACCTCAAAAGTTATCTGTCTTAACCAAACTTGTCCGGGGGGAAAGGGATTGTTAGCGATGGGGTTTAACAGCCCCAATGCTAGCAATGTAACTAATCAGGTCGATCTTCACATGGTTCCCCCTGGAAACCATCGTGGTTACTTATCATGGAATTCTTCACGATGGGCCTGCTTTCATCGTCATCTGTCATCTATCATTGGTGCCCCGCCAGCGTATACTATTAGCGCAGGCGAGGTTACAATTGCATTATAACCCATTAAAAAAAAAAACACAAACTTGTCCCTTGTGAAATTACTGACATTTTTAAAGATGAAAAAATCAACATAAAAATTTAACATCGAGTTGGCAACACTAATTCCCCCACTTTTCCCACCAGACTTTTCAATTAATCAGTTTGTTCTTGCTTGCTTAATAAATAATACTTTCAATAAAGATTTATATATACAAAATTAAATAGGCAAATTGTGTGATAAATATTAATTGATAAATAATTATTTAGTACTGGTTACGGAACTGAAAGTGCAACAGATTTCGTAGATATTCCTGCAGCAAGCATGAACAATTCGGCAGCAAAGGTAAATACAAAATACTGAAATTGTATAGATCTAATTATGTAGCTAATTAATATAAATGATATAATTATGTTTGTAATGCAAGTACAAAGTTTAATTAGACCCGAAATTGTTGCCGGGTAATTAGAACAATATAATTTGCAATTAAACTCGTGACTTACCGTGGCAAAATAACCGCAAAATAATATTGAATTTTTGTTTAGATTCGTCCCTATCGCCTATGAAGTTGGCGCCAATTTTTTCTTAATTAAATAGCAAGCAAGTTCAAAGCTTCGAACCTTGTATCTTTTCCAGTCTATGTTTTCCAGTAAAATATGACACTTCACTTTACTTTTAGTGCAGTGTAACATGAAATTATGATTCTGTTATCCTAATCCTATCTTTATATGACAAGTTGTTTTGACCAGCTTATATTTGACTATCAAATATTCATTATTGCAACATTTCTAATGTTTACATTGTATTTAAGTATACAGTAATCTTGATTATGGATAAATTTATAGGGTAATGTAGATATATTACATGTGGCATGGTTGCCCATTGTTATAAAGAGTAACAGTGAAATTGCAGAATGTAGAGTCATAACATCTCACACTTTAGGAATACCAAAGCTGTATGGTGATTCTTTGATGTACTATGCACATCATAGAGTACACAGTTCCATGTGATGTTCATATTAAAAGGATATTAGTAAAAATTAAAAGAAAATATAAAAAAGGTGGGAAATGTGTAACTGCCAGTATATCAGTAACATAGTACCCTGCAGTCGGTGCACCTATCTGTGAACTGTTATGTGTGTGTTCTGTTATATTATGTGGTGATATGCAGTTCATTCTAAATGTTTTTGCTGTCATTTGTTTTAAAGAGTTAAATACATAGATAAAAAATAATTGTTATAAAATACACATCATGCTACATTCACCATGATATCATTTCTATATGTAATAATTACCACTTTCCAATAGGTTCTTTTTAATGGATGAAAATGGAGTGGTAACTCCGCCTGCCCTATCGGTATACACTGGCAAGGTACCAACCAGTTAGAGGTGATAGGTGAGGGATAAAAAGGCAGGTTAGTTAGTCCATTGTGAGGAATTCAATAATAAAATTGTCATGATAGTTTCTAGGGGTGACTGTGTAGGTTGACCTGATAGGATATATTGATAGCAATGGAGACTAACCTCCCCATTACTAACAATCCCTTCCCCCCCTTTCCAATAGGTTGACCAGCTTGTTGTTTCAAATATAAAAATCATATGACATTGAATATTTTTAACACTTACCTACTGGTTCCACAGGTCGGAGAGATCTTCCGAGAGGCAGGAATTGCTTTCAATAAACTCTCAGAAATGACTATGCTGTTACACCCAATGGGGGATTCACAACCAGGGTATGTCTTAGTTGAGCTATTTTATTTATTACATTGTCTACAGGCAATGTGTATATTATGTATATAAAATTGGTAATCTATACAGCCATCTGTTTTGCAACAATATGAAGCAATTGAATTGAACTTAATGGTATTCAAACTAAATGTTGTGTACTAATGTAGGTATATATAAAAATAGACTGCAGATGTTAACTGTATACAATAGTGGGACACCTGTGAAGGATGAAATGATGTGGTTCAAGTTAGGCATACTTTTTTTTAATGGGTGATAATGGTATGGTAACCCTGTCTGCGCTATCGGTGTACACTAGCGGGGCACCAATGATAGATGACTAATGAGGATGAAAGCAGGTCAGTTAGCTCATCCTAACCAATTCAATGGTTTCCAGGGGGAACCACGTGGAGGTCAACCTCACAGGGTATATTGCTAGTAATGGGGCTTTTTGACCCCATTACTAACAATCCCTTTCCTCCCAGTTAGGCATGTTGTTTTAGGCAAGATGAAGTGAATCCTTTTGTGGTTAAGGTATAATGGAATGTAACTTCTGATAGATACAATATTTAATTAGATAACCACCAAACAGATATGGATAACTAAATTACTATTGATACTGGATAAGTCTTATAGAGAAGGTAGATAAAAAAAAAAACTTAATGATTGAGGGATGGATGGCAGCATCCCTCTTAAAACATCACCAAGCCTAACTGCAGTTATAGCCCATCTATTTGGTAACTACTAGCAAACCCCCCTAATGGAGTAGGCCCTCTTTCAACAGTAGACAGTTAAGGGCTGATATGATATAGTATGGTATTTGGAAAATGAGCGGTACAATTAACAGAAAAATATTACATAACAAATAGTAACTACTTAAGTTGCCACTACTAACTATTATACAGAGAGCAGATGAGATTTGACATACAACAATAAAAAAAGTACTAAGATGTAAATAGAGTCACATTAAAGTCATAAATTATACCTTATAAATTTTTAATACATTGCAATTGAGTTACTAAATATTTCAAATTAATATTGGAGCATAATTTATTGTAATCGATTTAAACTCAAAATACAAATGTGTTTTCAGCACATTTCGTCTTCAACTTCACTATTTTTATAGTGAAATGAATAATAGTAATTGTTTAAAGGAATAGGGGAATCAATATAATTTTTCAACAATTTAAATAAAAACTCTTGATCTCTTTTTAAGAGCCAATTAATTAATAGTGAAACAGCATTTACTTTTAGTATATGTCAGAAATTATGGTAAAGGACCTTTGTTGGTCACAAGGAATAGTGGAGAAGAGAATATCGGGTTTATAGGTACTTTGTACAGTGAAATAGAAGATTGTAAGTGAGACATAACAACCAGATGCATAGCTTAATTTAATTTTAATGCTAAAACATATGATAGTGATAAGAAGAGCCAGATGATTACACTATCTCAACAAAAATGGGCTGATATCATTGAAATATCAGAACCATAAGATATTGCGATATGGGAGAATTTATGGAGGATTATAAGGCTGAAGCGACCCTTGTCCGTTTCACAATTAATATTGTCATCCAAGAAAAGAATGAAGAGTTTGAACTTGATACAGATGAATCATATTAATCATCATAAGTCATTTATTATATCAATCATATGTTTACTTTTTACACAGTAACTACTGCTTGGCAACAATTATTATATTAAATTTAAGCAGTGCATCTAAGAATAAAGTATTCTATTATATAAGTAATTTTGTTAGTAAAATGTATTGCTGTGCAAGAGGGAGAGTTTGTACAAAAATCGATTGCTTGGGTACCTCTGTCCCATTCGTGTTTTAACCGTGAAGCAGTTGTGTTTGCATGGCTGTGTTTCGGTTTGAGGGGTGGGATATAGCGTAAATTTACTGGGTACAGAGGAATAGCACCTGAGTCCTCAGGAATGACAACGCATGGGAGTATCATGGGCGAAACAGTATACTCTGTTATGTCCATGGTACTGCTCATGTCTATAGACGACGGTTACCACTTTGCATCAGGTGGGCCGTCAGCTTGTTTGCCACACAAGTTGTATATAAAAAAAAAGTATTTTTGTTAGTAAAATGTATTGCTGTGCAAATGCCAAGTTACTATAATTGTTATAGAAATTAAAATGTTTAATATTAGAGTCGCTATAATTGTTGATAGGTTCGATAGATTAGATAACGTAGATAATAATTTATAACAAAGTTGTTGATATATCTACTGAAACTAAAATTACTTACTTGATTTAACATGAGATCTCACAACTTTGTAGTGCAAGAACTGCGTTGCTAGACTTGGCATTGTTTTACGTTTTATCTTTTTGATGAGCTCTCATTTCTTTTTGTTGGTCTCGGTCTTTTTTTTTTCGCTGATAATATACCTTGTCCGTCGGCTACAAATGCGATACGTTATGAATGAACGTAATTTTTATTATGAATGCACAAGAAACCAAAGCAATGATTTTTAGAATTTTTGTCTGTATGCCTGTTTGTCTGTACGTTTGTGCACGCTAATTTCAGAAACCGCTTAGCCGATTTGAACGCAGTTTTCACTAATGCGTTTAGAGTTTGTTTTATTTCAATCGGTTCATAAATAAAATAGTTATATCAATCTAAAGAATCACATATAAAATGTTATAAAATAATCGATCAGTCGAATTGGCTGAAACTTTTTTTAATATGTATAAATTTTTTAACATCTGTGTACTCGTGCGAAGCCAGATCGGAACGCTAGTCTATAATATTTCTGAAAATTTTGTCTGTTTTTTTTTATTACTCTGTTCTTTTTTTTACACATTATTACAGCAATAAAGAATTTTTAAATTTCTCTATTTACAGGGGGAAATGGACTGAGGAAGAAATAGAAATGCTGCGTTTATGTGTGCATCGGTTCGCAGTTGATCTTAATAAGCTCAGTCAACACATAAAAAATAGGACTGTGTAAGTACATGTCTAATATGTATGTGTGTGATGTGCTATTAAATAATTGTATCATTAATTTTCTATAGCTTGTATTGAATTTCCACACCAGAATTCGAAAGGCTTCTCAAATATTCATTACCAATAGAGATGATCTGGTTATTTAAAAGATTCGGTTGCAAGAGTATGAAGGCAGGGAAGCTACATGAATGTTATAGAAGACACTGTTCCATATATGAAATGGCATTCTATAATTTCCATACTGCTCTAAATGTCCGGTTGCAATTTTATTATTATTATTTTTTTATGCATCTTAGAATTGCAAACAAGCTGACGGCCCACCTTATGGAAAGTGGTAACCGTCGCCTATAGACATGAGCAGTACCATGGACATAACAGAGTATACTGTTTCGCCCATGATACCCCCCATGCATTGCCATTCCTGAGGACATAGGTGTTATTCCTCTGTACCCAGTAAATTCACCCAATTAATCGACTTTTGTACAAAGTCTGGTAAATGTAATATGTGTTAGATGTACTGTAAAATAACTGTGTTATTACTTGTATTGAATCTCCACACCAGAAATCGAAAGGCTTCACAATATTTCTTTACTTAGACAAACAGTCTTATTATTTATGGTGGTCATAGAAGATTTGATTGTAATAAACAAAGAAAAGAAAAATATTTATCTTTGCTAATGCTGTTGCATTCATGCAAGAAAATCAAATCATAGTTTCAAAGTTAAAATTCTGACAATATGCAAGTTGGAAATAAGTGAAAACTTTCACTCATATTAATACATTTCACTGATAATAACATATTTTGTTGATATAAAATCCATAAGTATATAAGGCATTATATCTTAGTTCTCAAAAATAGCAGGGTTTGCCATTTTTGGTGTCTACCGTGGAGGTCCTAGAAAACACTATATACATGTAAACATATTCTGTAATATCCATGGTGCTCTTCATGTCTCTAGACGAGGGTTACCACTTTCCATCAGGTGAGCAGTCAGCTTGTATTTTTTTTGATGGGTGAAAATGGTATGTTAGCCCCGCCTGCGCTAACGGTATACGCTTGTGAAGCACTAGTGAAGGGTGATAGATGAGAATGAAAACAGGCCAGTTAGCCCATCATGATGAATTCATCAGGAATTAACCATGATAGTTTCCAGTGAGAACTGCGAGGAAGTCGACCTGGTTGGGTATATTGCTAGCATTGCGATTCTCAGTCTCCATTACTAACAATCCCTTTCCCCTCTAAGTCAGCTTGTATTGTATAGCTTGTTTCCAGTCGTCTCAAAAATATGTTTGTTTTTATTTTTTGTAAGATAGGTGTACTAACGATAGGCTAAGATTATGTTACAAATCGGGCCATTGTAGTTCGACTTGAGATATAGAATAGTTTTTATCCTGATAAGAAAAAAAATATTCAGCAGATGGTGGTAGGGGCGAAATAACATTTGTCAGTCCCCTAGACTAGGGTTCGGTAACCTTTTGAGTTGGAAGAGTCAAAAATTACAATTATTATTTTTGAAGAATAACATGCTGTGTGTTCTCTTGGAAGCATGAAATGATCATAACCCGAGTGGTTGTGAGAGGAAACATTTCTGAAATCGCACTGTGCGTTACCATCTCACCTTGTCGATGGCGAGATTAATTAATCAGTTTATAATTAATGTAACAAACTGTTACAGGACTCAAATCCGCACAACACTGAAGAAGAAAGCGTTCGAGGACGCAGGTATACCTGTGAGACAGGTAAGCAGTACAGTGACTAGCCTTGGCCAGCCGCAGACTCCACAGGTAGCGCCCCCTCTGAGCGTGATCAACACACAGAACGTTATAGGAAAAAACGCCGAGGTTCAAAAATTCACTATCACACTTAGGCTTCATGAATTATATAGATGTTGTGCTGTCTTTTTTTTTTGTTAGAGGAGTTTTTTTTTTCGGAGCATCGCCCGCACACCGTTCTTGCATGAGCGTGTATGGTACAAGTGTTATTCTATAGATTATTATTTGCTAATTAAATATTTAATTCTCGTATAAGTTATTTTTTTTTATTATTTATAGGTATTTTAGATATAGGGTGTACCAATTCGAATGTATGCTGTTTGTTTCATATCGTAACATATTATTCGTTTCCATGTGCACTTCAGTTTTGTCTATAGTCACATTAAAATTGTTATACTCAATAAAAATATGATTCTGTAGTTGCCACATAAAGTTTACTTAAATTCCCTGTATCACGACATGTTAAATAATAAATTAACGCGTCATAGGATAATCGGCATATTGACTTAATTTAACTAATTTAATTTTTGTTACTTCCGAGAGAATTGAGGGAACTGAGATCTAGAGTTAATTTTTGTAGCAAAATGGTTAATTCCGAAGTGCTATTCCCTTGTCTCTGATATTAAAATAAAAATAAAAAAACGAAAGTATAACGTTACGGAGCACCAAGAATTAAATTTAATGTAGTTCTAACTGAAACTTATTATAAATTTAGTTCATACTGATCCTTAGATATGGCCTTACGATTTGCTTGTAATCTATAATATAAAAATGAATCGCTGAATGTGTTGCTAAGCGCAAATCTTGATAACAGCTGAACCGATTTCGCTAATTCTTTTCTTAGAAGTACGAGGATGGTTCTTAAGGAGGGAAAAACTTAAAAAATTGCTTGAAGTCTAAAAACAACGCTTTTCTATACTGCCATACTAACGATTCCTAATAATATTTAAAGTCAATTTGAACTTTAATACCATACCATATAGTTTAAGTGTTAGTGAAGAGATTCCGGGAAGACAAAACAATTGAGTGGCGTTAGTATTGTATAAATATTGATGTCAATATTTGTCAATATTTATACGATGGTAATATTAGTCAAAAACAAATTGTCTGTGGTTAGGCGGTACGAAGTTCGCGGGGTCAGCTAGTATTAAATATAAATTAGTATTAGCTAAATTTATTATAAGTTTCAGTTAGAATTACATTAAATTTAGTTTTTAGTGTACCGTAATAACTTTCATTTTTGTCATTTTTTTTTTTAATTTTAGAGATAAGGGAATATCACTTTGGATTCAATCATTTTGCTACAAAAATTTACTCGTAGGTCTCAATTTTCTCAATTCTCTCGTAACTAACAAAAATGAACTTGTACGAGTATAATTGGTAAACCGAAATTTAATTAACATAATAGGATAATGCTATTATATGTCGGTTCACGTAATTTATAATCTCAGTCTTAAAATGTTTTCTTATTTTATTTAGTACAAACACTGATTACTATTTGATCAATTAATAAATATTTTCATAGTATAGTTAGCTGGTCCAAAATTATTCTATATCTTAATTGGGAGCAAAACCATCTGAATCTATAATTCACGGAATTTCATTAAAATTTGTTGATTCCTTACGGATTTTGAGCGAATATTGTGACAAATGTTTTTTATTTAGTTATTAAAAAGTAAATATGTCTCATGTTTCTATTTTATATTTTTGTCCCATTCGTGTTTCTACCGTGAAGCAGTTGTATTTGCATGGCTGTGTTTCCGTTTGAAGGATAGAATATGGCAGTGAATTTACAGGGTACAGAGGAATAACATCTGAGTTCTCAGGAATGGCAACGCATCATGGGCGAAACATTATACTCTGTTATGCCCATGGTACATGTCTAGAGACGGTTACCACTTTCCATCAGGTGGGCTCGTCAGCTTGTTTACCATTCTATGTTGCATAAAAAAGTAACTTTTTTGTTTAAGTTGTTCTTTACATATTTAAATGCAGTCGTATTTTAATGTAGTTAATTTATTGAGTGTTGTAGTATTTGTTGTTAAATATAATTTTGATTCATAGTATATTATGTAGTAGGAAGTTACACATCACAAAACACTTGTTACCTCGTAGAAATAATTTATTGCATGTGCGACAGTTATTACAAATTATTATCAAACTATTTCATTAATTAAATTAAGAATTACTTTTAAATTTGTTAATTATGTTATAAAAATGTAAATATTTAAAATAACTATTAAATGTCCCTAATTAATATCTAACGATAGCGGTTATAAAATGTTATCGCAGTATGCTATGGTCATTGGTTTTTTTTTTTTTTGGTAGATGAAAATGGAATGGTAATCCCGCCTGCCCTAACGGGATACGCTGACGAAGCACCAGTGAAGGGTGATAGATGAGAATAAAAACAGGCCAGTTAGCCCATGATGATGAATTCATCAGGAATTAACCATGATAGTTTCCAGGGCGAATCACGAGGTGGTCGACCTGGTTGGGTATATTGCTAGCAATGGGATCTTTAGTCTCCATTACTAACAATCCCTTTCCCCCCTATGGTCATTGGTTGGTAACATTTCTCATTCTTATCAATGGTAGCCTCTACTATAAATCTACACAAACCAAACCCTTGTCTTTTGTGTGTAATTCATCTACTCGGCTTCTTCGCTACAATTTATGTGGCGGATTTTGAAATAGATATTTTTTTAGTCTCATCAAGTCTCATCAGAGCCTTTTACAGTTTCTACATTTTTAGTGACCTTCAAAAGGAACAAGTTTTCAATTCATTAGTATTGTGACAATTTATTCCCGTGTGGTCCCATATTAATTTTGAAACGATAGAAGTTGTCGTTTTATTTGCAAACCAATATCTACTTATAGGCACTTTACAGTATTCTAAATTCAAATATTTAAAATTTCATGTGACTATTAAACGTAGCATCATTCATCAGTATGTTTCGGTTTTTTTCTTTTGTTTCTACCAAAATGTACTTGTAGATCTGATTTATACGGTGATGTTTACATCTACAGGCGATAGTTGTTTTCACAGAACATGTAAATAACGTCACCACAGCAATGTATGTTGTGTACGTATTTACGAAATGAAATTGTGTGGTATATCCATAGCATTATGCTTGTTTTAGTACTTGAAAACGCTATATTATATACCCATTGATATTTATTTACAACTTTTAGATTAGTCCATAAACTCAATAGAGGTAACAAACGAGTAACAATGGCATTTCGTTTATAGGTCACCTTGAATATGCTGAACGCCTCAGAGAACGAAGTAGACGTGGAGGGGCTCAGCGGTGATGTCAAGCTAGAGTTCGAGGCGGGCAACGAGGAAGTGGCCACCTGAAACATGTTTAGCTTTTCATATTAGTTTTAATATAGAATAGACGACTATGGCACAGGACACAAGAATTACGTACACAGTGCAAGCTTCAGCCAGTGAGCTGTATGGATTTTTTTTTATTTAGGGCCGAACGTGAACCCCTAATTCTTGTATTGAATTTGGAGGGAAAAATAACGATCACATAAGTATCTAATGTATAATTTTGTCGATTTATTATAGAATACAAATCCACATATATTACAGGTAGCGTTTTTTTTACTTTCACATTGAATTAGCTGTATCCCGTGACTTCGCTCGCGCGAATCAGTACATTAAGTGTCCATTTAGTAAATTACGATATAACCTATTCGTGTATCAAATTTTATTCAAATCTATTTAGTAGTTTTCTTTGAAAGAGTATTATATATCCAGTCATTCAGTGTTACAAACTTTCCGTATTTATCCCTAATATTAATGGGATTTTGCAGGAGGATCCCGCCAAAATATATGCGAGGATGCCAGCACATATGTGACTGATTCCGCCTCTATTTCGCTTTATCATGTACATGTGATGCTATATTTTTTATCTAGTTTTTTTTTTATAATATCAGCCGTTAACTGTCCACTGCTGAACTCTGACTGAACTGAACACTAAAGGTCTCCCCCTTGAAATTGTTAGAAAGTGACCTCTGATTACCTTTCTTTGTATGTTATTTGTTATTTATTAATTAGAATAAAATATTAAATAATAGTGAATGAAATGAACACACCCAATGTATTTTATTGTATGCATTTTATCTATATTTCTTTTTTTTTTATTTTTTGTAAGGAATTTCTGCGGGAAGATTTTGGCCACATCAGAATATCAATGTTTTGCTCTTTTGAGCGCAAAGCAATAAACTGAGTTGTCACAATTTTGTGATACTGTGGCATGTGCATTAAAAGGAAAATTGTTAGTTTTTTTTTTTTGCATTTTTTTATATTTTTTGTATATGTGTTCTATTTTTTTTTTTACTGTGCATCTATGTCTGCTGTTAAGTAATGCAAATAAATTATCTATCTATTGAATTAAGTTCCCTTAATAGCTTCTTATGACACCCACGGAAAAGTAAGGACTGTTCTATTATTTGTTGGGACCACACGGCAATATTATGTCTTATATTTTATCTTATAATCTATATATATATATATATATATATATATATATATATATATATATATATATATATATATATAATCTACGCCGTATGATCCCAGTTTACAATAGGCCACCCATTCCTTTTCCGTACATGTCATAAAAAGTCAAAGATCGATGGGTGGGCAACAGTGTCCCTCTTAAAGCATCAAAGCCTAAGTACGGTTGCTACTCACCTGTACTCATCTGTCAAGCGTGGCAGTTACTGGCGTAATTCTCCAATAAGAAAGGCCTATGTGAACAGCAATGGACAGTTAATTATCATCATATTTTTTTAACTTATTACCAGGCAGGTCACTGGCTGGAAAGCTTGCACTCTGTACGTAATCTCTATGTTATGAGTTCAAAGGATATTGGTTTTTTATTAATGGAGGTGCAAAGATACAATATTTTATACTTTGTGAAGTGATTTGTTTTGTATGGTTTATAAGTGGCACTTATGGAATGTTCTTCATCCAACGATAGCGCGATATGTATTTCATTAGAGCTACTCCTAAAAATTGTTTGTCAATTCGCATGTATTTTTTGTATGCATATTTAGCCATTTATTCGTTAATTTTTTTTTTAAATTCTTTTCACAATCCTTAGGAATTACTTCCGTGATAATGTATATTAATTTTATCACCATTAGAATTTGTTTCTCTTTATAGAACATTTTATTATATTGTTGCAATGCACTTGTAAGGACAATTCCGCTTTTACATCCTAAATTTTTAATGCAACAGTCTAGGAAATATTGCACCGTCTGTTGGTGTGTTTTATTCATGTTATATCGAATCACTATTTATAGTTTTTATTTTTTTATTTTTGTAATTACAATCTTAATTAGTATATCAACCAAAATCAGATATCTTTGTTAAAAAATTAAAAGACACTGTCTCACTAGCGCCATCTTTTAAATGTAATTTAAGTTAACTATCATGAGACAGCCATGAACATCAAAATTCTTTTTATAGGTGTCACTTTAGAGTTTTATAAAGTAGATAAGCGCGCCATCTAGCGTACTTGTCCATATCAGTCTTCGTTATTAGAAATACGGGTAATTTTTTCCTAATGGCTACCGAATGAGAATCGATGTAAATTTTAAAATTATAGACACATAGTATATATTACCTGTCCTGTATGCTCAATTAATATGTTTAGATGCCAGATGCTACTTAACGTTCAAGTGATTAATTTATTCATCTAGTAGTATCTAGCCAGTAGGTGTTCATATAGGGATGAGTTACTTGCGTCGGTATAGGAAACGCTGTACAGGAATAAATTTATGTCAGTTATAAAATGCACACTATTTCAACGCGAGTACATTTCGCTTCTTACGTCAGTCATGTGAACGTGACTTTCTAAAAGCAAAAGAATCTATAGTAGTGATGTGTTAGGTTGATACGAGTAATGATTCGAATATCTACAGGGTATTCCAGTACTCGAGTACTCAATATACGAAATATAGATACATGATACTCGAACACAGGATAATAGCATGTTTATTGTAAGTTTTTATTTCAGAAAATCATAATTAGTTGCCGCAATCAATGATATATTATAGCAACGTCTAGTGTCCTATTCTTTTTCAATGCTTTTACGTTTTTACCGATAGATGTATTTATTTTGTTTTAGTACTAAATCTATACCTTGTCGAGTAATCCACATTTCTCTGGTAATTGTTAGTTATTTCGTAGGTTTGTTTTAAAGACCTGTTCTAGGTAATGTACGTGTTGTTTTATTCTTAACCGAACATCTAACGCCACAAATCTTATGTTCAATTGGATTTTGAATTAATTTTAATCTGTCGTTTTTTATTTATATATTCAAGCGTAGTTACAGTATTGCAACCTGATAAATTTGCTTTTATTTCCTAACATAAGGGTGGTGGGTCACTAAATAAAATTAGACAAGAAATGCTAGATGACGCTGAAATCGAGACTTGTGATTTTTTTATTTATTTATTCATTAGTACAAATATGTGTACATGGCGGACTTAATGCTAAAAGCATTCTCTCCCAGTCAACCATAGGGAAGTGTCAGAATACTGTACTACTAATTATTGATATACATACATACTAAAATTACATATATAAACGAATAAATATATATAAATAACAAATATACTTACACATATATGACATATACTATGTTATACACGAAATTGAGAATAATATAAAGTACTTTTTGTTGATTATTTTGTAATTAAAGTTAATTAGGAGTTAAATTTTTAAATTACCGAGTGGTCTTTATTTTTTTTTTATAAAATGTGAAGGGACAAATAATACACGATCTTTTTCCGAAAGAATTATAACATATTTGCAATGTATAGTTGCTGTGTATGTGTTTTTTCCAAGATCTTACGAAATATAAAATCAAAAAGACAAAAATTTATGATTAACTAACTACATCGGTAAAAATAAATAAGATCACTCGCTGATTAAGACATTTCGCTTCAAATTATCCTTAATTATAAAATACAAAAAAAAAAAAAACAGAATCTAGCGCCATCTAGTATTTCGTGGCCGATGTTTGTTTAGTGACCAACCACCTTTATGAATTGTATGCAGATGATTTACATGCATAGCATTAGCTTACACATCATTATAGATATTTGTTTTACAGCATTAATTTATACAAATAGATCAATAGATCATCAAATCATCGCTTTTATATTTGTAATATTTGCACATTTGTGACAGGGAATTAATTATATACTTGTACATCACATTGTTATAACAAGATACAATGAATACATTTAATATTATTGACACATGTTTTAGACGAAAAACGACTTACCATAGCATATGATGACGTCGGGACGTCTAAAAACCTAATTATTTGGTTTTTAAAGTGACTTTGAAGTGACCAAATGATGACGTCCATTTAAGTCTCCCAGGCGTCACTATGCACCTAAGGTAGTATTTGACTTTGGGTTTATAATTTTGAAATATAAAGTTTAAATCGATATAGATGTATAATTTGAATTTCTATTAGTTCTATTTTCTTTTTGTCTTTAAGTTTTAGAATATATGTTTAAAGTGTTTTACAAGACCTCGGCTTAATAATCCATGGGCCCATCCATGAGCGAAACACCTACTGTAGGTTACCAAGACAGACATGTGCAAGTCTCGTTTCTAGTATTAATACTACCGCTTACTATTTACATTAAAAAAAAATTGGAATTTATAAATTGTATTTCTCAAATACTAGAAAATTATTAATATTGGAACTAGTTGTTATTTTGCGAAATCCCATATCACTGGTTATTTGATTATAATTATTTTGTTTCATTCCGCTATCATTAGTATGTGTGCGACGGCCAACACTCAAAGATTGACTACTATTATTATTACCTGAATTTCTACAACCTTCCATATTAGTCGTCTATCTCCGACTGCCATTTCGTCCATGCACGTTCGAGTTTCATAGTTTAGGTGCTGAACTGTTAAGACTAAACCTCTAGCAGCGATGTAATTTGTCTGAAGATGACACCCATAAACGTGGCGTTTAGAGGTGCAACTCGCCGCAAAATGTGCGTGGACGAAATGGCAGTCAGAGACCGATGACTAATATGTAAGGTTGTGGAACTTCTGGTAGCAATAGTGATGGACAATTATCCAAGTGTTGGCAATCACACACATACAAATGGTGGCGGAATTAAATAAAATAATTCTATTTAAATAACTAGTGATATAGACTACCACAAGATAACATCTAGTTCAGTAAAATGTTTAAATTTCATTAAACTTTAACGTTTAATAAACTTATTATTAGATATAAAATAGCGAATAAGTAAGAGTAAATATTTACGGTAGTTGGTGCTTTCACTCAGAGTAGTGCCTATAGACTTTCAACTAGGGATTGTTTTATATATAGTGAAGAGTTACTAGGAATAATAGTTTAACGATTTGTCGTACAGTAACGTAAGTTCATTTATAGGTATAAATAAAATCTGACCGCGTGTATAATGAATGATAATTACTAATGAAATAAAAAGTACTTTATGTACTTTATTCATATTCACCGAATCTTCCAGTTCAGACGATCTCTTTTAGGTTATGTTCGATAGCGGATATATTAATAGTTTTTCTGATTTTTAAACTGTTGTGGTATATTTTATACAGAAATATTTATTATACAGCAAATGTTTTCAGTAGATGTTTGTTTTTACATTAAGATAAGTTTTATGTACAAATTTAGTTTGGTTGATATTCGGTGAATATGAATAGGTATTTGTGGTCGTCGCATTACTAATGAAATATTTGTATAATTTGTATAAACGCGTTGATTTCACATTTAATTATCTTATAAGAACGAATAAATTTGTAAAAATATTATGTATTGTTTTTTTTTTGTCACTCCTTTAATGGATAAGATGGATGGACAGTCTCTTAGTGCTGCCTTAAGTTATTATCGAAAGTCATGTCAAATAAGATAATAACGATGAAGCTGATGATAAGATGATAAACGTTAATATAAAACCAGAGGGAGACTGTACAAAAGTCGATTGCTTGGGTACCTCTGTCCCATTCGTGTTTCAACCGTGAAGCAGTTGTGTTTGTATGGCTGTGTTTCGGTTTGAAGGGTGGGATATGGCGTGAATTTACTGGGTATAGAAGAATAACACCTGAGTCCTCAGGAATGGCAACGCATGAGGGGTAATCAGTTTGTTTGCCATTCTAAGATGTACAAAAAAAAACATTTTTTGATTGGTGAAAATGGTATGGTAACCCCGCCTGCGCTAACGGTATACGCTGGCGAAGCACCAGTGAAGGGTGATAGATGAGAATGAAAACAGGCCAGTTAGCCCATCATGATGAATTCATCAGGAATTAACCATAATAGTTTCCAGGGGAAACCGCGAGGAGGTCGACCTGGTTGGGTATATTGCTAGCAATAGGATTCTCAGTCTCCATTACTAACAAGCCCTTTTCCCCCTTATAAACATATTTTAGGGTTGAGTATGAAATGGTAACCCTGCCGGGCGCTAT